GTTTTGTTAGTTCTATGAATGGCTCAGCTAAACAGGCCAATAAGACTATTAACTACCATTATTCATTTTAATTATACTAATGTCTAATTAAACAGTCTACAAATGTATAAAACTGATCAGAGATCCGATAAAACCCACAGACACTTGTTCATTGGTTCTCAGTGAATCCTCATCATGATTCATGGGTTGACAGAGATCATCGCCCCCAGCGATGAACCATTGAAACTCCTGAAGTGTTCTGAAACGTTTCGAAACAGTTATGACGTAATGAAGCCTCGTTTACTGAAATCACGTGACTCTGACAGTTTGATATACCATACACGCTCCAAACCATTGATTCGGAACAAACGATTTGTAAAGGCTTCAAAGCTTCATGAAGCAGTGTTTTGAAATTGCCATCACTAGTTCCTGTCTCACCCTCTGGATTTGTTTGTCATAGTTTGGATTGATCACCCTGTGCTTTTGACCACTGCCTGTTATACGGTTTATGATCTTGGATTTTCCCATTTAAATACTGCATTTGGATTCTCAACCTTCGTGTCTCCGAGCAGTTTGTTACAGATCAGGGGCCGTATTCACAAAGAATTTTATCTTACCACTAGGAGTACTCCTAAATCGCACTAAAATATTTTAGCTAGGAGTTTTCTCTTAAAAGTTATTCACAACGCCTTTCAGACCTACTCTTAGTAAGGAAAAATGACAACTCCTAAACTAAGAGTGAGTCTTCGTTGCTATGGATGACGTCACTTCTCATGCACGAGCCTCCTCGCAATGATCACGGTGATTGGTTGTTAGATGACAGGGCCATCATGCGGAACATAACACAGACGCAACAAATCATGGATTTAGGACATCTAAATATGTCTGTGTCCTACACAAAATAAAATAATAGTAATGTCATCGAAATGTTTGTGCAGGCCCCAGTGAAGTGTAATTCTAACAAGGCAGAGAGAGAGAGAAGTCGTGAATTAAATTAAATTAAATCAAGGTAGCCTAATGCCCCAATGAAAACCGCCACTTGTCTAATAATGAAAAAACGACACTTGCATTAACACTTGCTTGGTTAATTGACATCCTATTAGCCTAAATAGACTACTTAAAGCAAGGAAATGTTACTCCTATTGAAGTAATGTAATGGTGTGTTCACACCGAACGCGAATAAAGCGTCAAATACGCGTCTATCGCTTGAACATTCGCTCGAGTTCAAATTTTTCAACTTGCGCGGAAGACATTCGCGGCAAACGCGTCGCCCAATTCGCGTCATTTGCAACGCCCGGCGCGAATGATGCGCCTATTCGCGTCTTTGCATTGACTTTGTATGTAATCTACTCGCGCAAATAATTAAATTCGCGTTCGGTGTGAACACACCATAATAGTTGAATGACGGTGGATTATGAACTCGCCAAAACGGAAAAGAAAGCCCAACTGGACGCAGGATCAGTTACTGCTGCTGGCCCAAAAACATAATAAAAGTGAAATTCGGCACTGGGATATCAAGCAAAACCAGTGGTGTAGTCTAGTTTTTTGTAGTGAGTATACTGTGATATTACCCCCCCCCACTTGTGTGATACTTGTTATTATTATTTTAAAAAGTAGGCTACATCTTACTATGCAATTTCTTTAATAATTCCTTCGAGTTACTTTCTTTCTCTCTACAAACTTTTATTATGGTGGGTTGTAAATTAAAGACATTTGAGCTTCTGTGAGCTTTAATAAACTATTATTATTAATTAATTATTAGGCCTACTTGAAGTATACTCTACTGTGCAAGAGTAATATATTTCTGTTATATTTTCTTCGTTATACAAAACTTTTATTTTGACAGGTTGTCATGAAGACTTTAAAGTTTGTGAGTGTATATGATACGAATGAATGACGATAGTTTTATCAAATGAAATGGTAAAATTCTTGTGAAGTGACTCTCATAAAAGGTCTGCGATGAAGTTCAAATGTGTGCATGTCCTCCTCCTCATAGACACTGAAAACACCATGAGTGTCACGCGCGCTTCAGTGTGTAGCTAGTAGAGCACACATTGAGCGCTCATTCACAGAAACACGCAGAACATGCAGTTTATTTCTATAGCAGTCTTTTTGAGCTTTACACACTAGTACACTAGTTTACACACTAGTACATATCGAGATTTGATCCGTTGTACATCCCTACTTTTGATTTATTCTTTCAAAAATGGCCAAATTGCGTGACGTTCCGCTTTACAGTAGGCTAAGTTACATTTGTGACTGGATTCCGCGATTCGATCCGCTGCGCAAACACAGACGGCGGGGTGAATTTATGAATGAAAGTTCTGTCACAAAACGATGTTGTTACGAATACTCGCGCTTTTTTAAGTGGGTATACGGAGATCCTTGGCCTTTCCTAGTGGGTATACGGAAATCCTTGACATTTTCTAGTGGGTACAGTGTTTCCCACAGAATTTGATTCTATTTGCGGTGGTGGGGTGTCGGGTGGGGCGGGTTGGTTTTTTTCCGGGTGGGTCGGGGTGGGTTGGTGTGGGGGGTGGTAGGGGGGTTAATTAAGGCACAACAAAAGGGTTAAATATATCATATATTTTTATTGACACGTATCTTTCTATGACTGCTCCACAGACTTCTTGTTGCAAATTTTGCACCCTTTGTTTGCACATTTAATTTTACGGGACTTTCTGAAAAAATATTCCAATGCCCTATCATATGGGAAGGCCTCAGGACAGGGTCCATTGATGGAGATCCTCAAGCAGGCAGCCAGGTGATCTCCTTGAAGCTGGTTTCGGAGGTCTGTTTTCACCTAAGGACAAAGCAACAACAACAAAAATTCCCACAAAATGCACTAAAATAAATAAAATGTATAATTTGATTGAATTTCGCAAAAACTCCCATTTATCACAAAAAAGGTTTTACGCTCGCGTGAGGTGGTTTTTCAGGCAATTCGGATTTTTTTTTTTTTTTGCAAAACTGCAATGGAAACAGTTTTTGCGCATTTACAGTCACCTGACTTAGAAAGCGCAGTGTGTTTGGACAGAATACGAGACAGAGTTCTTTATTAAATTCATAAAAGACAAAATAATTACAGGAATACTGGATTCTAAACCTTAAAGAAATGCCACAATCAAGAGCTCGGAGCAGAAATGAGTGAGAAAACACCTCATATGTGCCGCTCACAGTATAAGGGTCTTTCCTTGTCATTAATGCTTGGGTAACACGCGGCCTACGTCTCTTTACATTAATAGGCTAATGATAATAATGTCTAGTGCGGTGGCTGTGAAATAAACCTACCAACGTCCGTTGCCATGATTTTTGGAATGACTGATCGCGAGAGGAAAAAAAGGACGTTTTAGTCGCGCCGTCATTTCGCAATAGTTTTTTTATCGATATTTAGAAAAAATCTGTAATGGAAACGCGACAGCGTTTAACATAGACTAACTTCTCAGAGTTATGTTGTGCGTATACTAACCTTTCAACTCCGGGTCCGGATTGATTTCTGGAATCTTCTTCGCTGGGGATAAGCACCATCCTCCTACGCATGCTCATGTTTTGATGCAGATCGTGCTCGAGGAGGAGGAGGGGATATTCGCGCGCGCGCCTCCGTTGTCAGTTTGTGTGTGTGAGAGTGAGAGAGAGGGAGGGAGCAAGCTAGCTGCGCGCAGCTCTACAATAAAATACTATTTACCCATATTAAATAGTTAAAAATTTGAAAATCAATCCGTGGCGGTCAGCGTTGCTATTGTGGCGGGCCGCCACAAATTAATGAATGTATGGGAAACACTGGGGTATACGGCGTATACGTATCACGTAGACTACACCACTGAGCAAAACTAAGCGTGAGAATTGGAGAGGATTTGTTTGCAGATCAATGCAGCATTCCGCTTGTGTCGCGGACCCCGGACGACTGCGAGAGGCGGTGGTATGCGCTACAATCCTTTGTGAATAGGAGTGAGTTATAGTTATAGTGAGTTAGGAGTCCTCTCGACTTTTTTTAAGCTGTCCCAGACTTAGGTGCTACTTTTAGGGCTAAAATGCTTCGTGAATTACTCTTAGTGAAAAAAATTAGGAGTCCTAAAGTTAGGAATGACACGCCCATTATTTTTAGGAGTTGCTCCTAAATTTGCCAGTTAGGAGCTACTTTTAGCCTTAAAATTCTTTGTGAATACGGCCCCTGTTATCCAGGTACAAAAGATACTTAAATTGTAAACACACCGTGTACTGATTGGCTAATGATCCGGTCTGCTTGATCAGATCACGGTGATCGCGTGTTTATGTCACGTGAAAACGCAGCCTATTTCAGCTGGACAGAATTGACATTGCTACTCAAACCAAAGTTGCACTGTATGTATTTAAAATACTACTACTGTGAAAACATGAGCATACAATTGAGCAGACAATGGAGTGGAATACTGTATCCCAAAATGCAATGTGACCAACACAAAACCTTTATTGACTGTAGTAAAGAAAGAATTTGTTTCTCCTGCTGTACACACTGCTTTCATTGTCAGTTTGAACTTTCGATTTCAGAGTCTTTTAATGGTCTGTGTTTTCCTAGTAGACTCTCTGATGGGATTGGTGCCCAGAGCTTTGGAATAAGGTGGTGTGATTAAATCCTTTTCACACCCCGCCAAATTCTTGTTGGCTCAGTTAGTTTGACATCCTGTGAAACCATGTGCAGCAGAGGCCCTTGTTCAGAGCCACAGGGGAAAGCCTCCTTACCTCACTTAACCTCATACAGATGAGCTAATACACACGTAAACACCCTTGTGACCGTATTCAACCTCAAACGAGCAGAGATGCTGTATGAGATACATTTTTTACTGATTCTACTGTAAAACATAAAGCTGAACATCTGTAACAGGCGTCAGTTTGTACAAGTAGATGATGGTGGTAATAATAATAATATGTTTAGTTTTATAGCGCCTTTTCCAGAACCCAAGGTCGCTTCACAAAATAATACAAACAACTGTGATTGTGATGATGATGATGATGATGATGATGATGGCCTTCTCTCTCTGCAGGATTCTGGTGTCCACCATACCAGCTGTATTGTGTTATTTCCTGATATGGGTGGTTCCGCCTATAGAGCAGGGAAAGATTATGTGGTATCTGCTCTTCTACTGTCTCTTCCAGACTCTCCAGACAGTTAGTACATTATACACATTTATAGTTCTTGAGAAATTAAATGTAACATGATGTGACGTTATATATATATTTACATTCTTGCATGACAACTACTTGTTAATCATTTGGACACAATTTGCGTTTCTCGTAGTAATAAAAGTCTTTTGATCTAAATGTTTACGCTGAAATGTTAAAAATTAGGTAGGAATGTCCTTTAAACTAATCTTTTAATTGTAAAACTATTATTTTAAATACTTTAAATGTGTTTTTTTATGCAATATCCTTGGAGCACCAAATTAGAGTGAATATTAGGCAATTATATTATATATAATTATATTTATATTATATAAAATTCTATAGCTTTCATTATATACACTATATACGGGGACATCAGTGGTAGGTATTGCCCTGTTTCCACCCTATGCACTTTTTAACAATACAGCACAATTTTATAATTTACCGTATTTTCCAGAAAATAAGTTGCACCTGAGTGTGTCAAACTTAGTCACGTTGTTGAGAAACACACACACACACACGCACGCATGCACACATAAAACATGTAGGCGTATTAGGCTACTTCCCCTCAACAAACAACATTTATTTTAAACGGCAAGTCTAAATGAATCAATTTGAATCGAAACTGAAACTGTACAGAGGTTGGACTCGCTCATCTCATTCGGTCCAACGTTACCATATTTGGGATGTAGCCTAACATTTGGATGCTAAATTATTTTATGTTAACTATTTATGTAAAGAAAGCTTCATACTTCAGTCCCACTATAAATCAGCATCTTCACATGCGGAGAAATGAGATTGGAATAACAGCAAGTCGACAGTATAATGACTGACTTAGTGTACAACAGACAAAATAAATTAAACAGAACTTTTTATATGTTCGGTTGACTGTGTTTTATTTTGAGAATGAACAGGCTGCGATTTCAAATTAGCATTGCTATCTATCTATAGAAACCTTTAAGTGCCTACCTTTAGATTATTTGATGTTAAATGCATTATGTAGCCTAAGTCACTTTGGAATAGGCTAAATAGCATGTTTCAGATGATAAAGAAAACGCGACTTTAAAAAACGGTAGGCTGTAACCAAATAATTTCGCGGACCCCTGGCTATGGGTCATGGACCCCACTTTGAGAACCGCTGTAGTAAAGAATCAGAAGGTGTGTCTAAAATTTTGACCAGTAGTGAATAATAAATGCATTGTTACTTTACATATTTATGGAATTCTGTCGTAAAACCAGCAATGAGTAACTGTGTGTTTGTGTGTGTTTAGTGCTTTCATGTGCCGTATTCTGCACTGACCATGTTCATCAGCACCGAGCAGAGGGAGCGAGATTCAGCCACAGCGTACCGTAAGAGCATTTACACATGCATTACTACATAATACGCACAGCAAACACATTATAACTGAAGAATACTCTACAATTTGGGGTAAGATTTTTTTAATGTTTTTGAAAGAAGTCTCTTATGCTCACCAAAGCTGCATTTAGTTGATCCAGAATATTTCACAGTATTTTTGGAAATGTTATTACCATTTAAAATATTTTATTTTCCTATATTAATATATTTTAAAATGAAATATAGTCCTGATTACTTCAGTCTTCAGTGTCACAAGATCCTTCAAATATTTAAATATGCTTAGAAACATGTATTATTATTATTGACAATTTATTTTAGCAGAAATCATTATACTTTTTTTAGGATTCATTGATAAGATAACTAGAAAGTTGAACAGCATTTATTTTAATTTATTTTAAATATATATTTTTATTTTTAAAACGTTTTTTATTAAATCTTTTTGGCGTCAGTGACTTTTGATCAATTTAAAGCATCCTTGATGGATAATGTCAATTTAAAAAAAAAAAAAAAAATCTTGCTGACCCCAAACTTTTGAATAGTGTGTGTATGATGTGTGAGACCTAGGGGTGTAACAAATTGAACCAGAAAACCACAATACAGTGGAGTGTGCTAGAACACGATTATCTCTTCCTCTAATATTAGTTACAAAATAAACATGAATGACCATCTGAAGGTATGTTGAAAGATTCAGTACAACTTCCTGAAACACGTCATATCTCCTGACTCCTGTAATCGCTCAATCATTGTTTCATTAGCGGAAAGACATCAATAAAACAGCTTGTAAACAATGTCACGTAGCATTACAATTACCTCAGGCCCCCGTGGGGACCCTGGGCACCCCCTTGCTGTTCGTTAAAGGCGACAAATGGGGCAACTTGTCCCAACTAGTCATGATGTGCCCTGGGTAGATATTGGCAATTAAATCAGACATATGTTTCTCTTCCCTGAAGGCACTGGCAAAGGGTCAATCAAGCAGTATGAACATTAGTTCTTCTTGCAAGAGTATATCATCCTTGTGTCCCTGATGCATATCTGCTGGAGTTCCGAGGTGGGTGGGGAGCAAAGTTAAAACAAATATGGCAAACAAACAAACCTCAAAAAGGTAAATATGGATGATAGGGATGTCAACGATTAATCGACGATCGATTAATTGTCGATAACACGTTTAATGGATAAATCTTATCGATCATCGATTAAGCAGGTTCATGCGCGTGCGTGCTGCTCAACCGCGAAACATGTAAGCGAGCACGCCGGAGTTATGTTTGGGACTATTTTACACCTTCATCATGACTATAAGTTTGCGTGTGCATTCGCTGCCTTTTGTTTTGTGCAAATGTAAGTTGTAATAGTTTATTTTGTGTGCGCCTATCTATATCTGATTTATCTCATATTGGATGCATTTGGTTAAGAATTGACGCAGCGTGATCTTTAGCGCGCGCAGCTCAAATGGCAATGCACGACTAATAACGACTATTGGGACTGTCATATTATATAACATTATAAAGAGAACAATATTGTAATAAAAGGTACTTTCCTGTTATCCGGACCCCACCATGGCCTACCCCTAACCCCGCCCCTAAACCTACCCGTCACTGGGGTAGACCAATCAGGGACGATGGCCTACCCCTAACCCCGCCCCTAAACCTACCCGTCACTGGGGTTAAGACCAATCAGGGACGATGGCCTACCCCTAACCCCGCCCATGGTATATGGTGGGGTCTGGATAACAGGAAAGTACCTAATAAAACATTGTGAATTATTTGGGTTTAGTTGCCGTGTCGCGTTGTTCCAGGAAGAGCGCGTCCACAACATGAGTCATTCTGAATGGCACGTAACTTAGTTCAAGTTCACTTGTGCATTCACGTCATTTTGTGCAGATATAATTTGTAATATTATGTTTATTTTGTATATATCTGATTAATCTCATAGGATGCGTTTCTTTGAGTTAAATAACGTGCTAGCAAAGTGCTCAACGGTTAAGTTATTCATTCAGCGCGCGCCGCTCAAGCAGAATGCACGACTAATAACGAGGATTAATTTGGGACTGTCATATTACATAACATGAGAACACTATTTTATTAGATCGGTGTGAATTCATTGGGTTTAGTTGCCGTTTTAAGTACGTTGTTCCAGGAAGAGCACGCGTCCACAAGTCACACATTCTGACAAGCGCATCTGAGGCGGCGTTGGTGACACGTTGTATTAGTCCTTATATTTGATTATTAAATATTTAATTTAATTCAGGGCCTGAATTTCGTTTTGGAAAATGGGGGGGGGAAATCCCCCCTTAGATGATTCTCATGGGGGGGGGATTTTTTTTTTGAGGGGGAGAAGGGCGGGGGGCATTTTTTCCAAACAAAAATTACATTTATCTTGCCGAAATGTTTGCGCTCATTGCATTTTTACAATGGGGTAATATTGTTGTTAAGAGTTTACACAACACAAGGAAGCTTGATTTAAATTGTTTAATTAAATTGAAAAAAGTAGCACAAATAAATTCAATAGAATAAAGATACAAATAAAGACAAATAAAGAGAAAAGTTTTTCAATGGGTCTAACTTCATATAGGCCTACAGAAACTGAATAAAGTAATCAAATGGAAAATAACACTGGGTAGTATTTTAGTCCTGAATAAATTAAATATAGGCTATTAATCCTGATTCCTTTAACTTAAAGCTATATTTTGTTGTTTTGACAACTAAATTAATGAGCTAGTGCACGGATCCTGTGTTCATTATACTGGCATGCGTTTTATGCTTATTAAAAGACAAAACCGACTATGTTTAGAGTATACTCACGAAGACCGAAATTGACACAATTTTGCGTGTTAAAGCAATATAATCCGCGAAAAATAACTTTTGTTACTGGCCAGCTGTTTTTGAGGCGGATTCTCTATGAATGTGCGCAGAGAAAATCATCTCAGAGAGCGCACGAGCACTGATTAGTTTAAAATCGCTTGAATGTTTAAACTGGTAAGACTTAAAAAGACGTGCAAATGGTAAACTTCAGTCACGATGCACTGCTGGCCCGATTGTGCAAGTGAATATTCCGTCATGTCCCGACTCCTAAACGCGAGTGTGTCGCCGCAGCGCTTGATGCTTGCCTTGCACAACACATTTTGAGAGAAGAGATAGAAGACGCGGCACCGCTGAACACCCACGCTGTTTGTGAAATTGCGCCTGGCAGATAGTTGTTAAAAGAATGATTTGATTTTATAATCTGTGTGGATTACGATTGCGGGAATTTCCTGCATTATAAATGGGAGACCTGTGGGAATTATTAGAATTATGCGTAATACCCGCAATCCCGCGCCGAAATTCGAGCACTGTAATTTAATTATCAATCACATCGAAACATTTTACAATCCTACTAGCCCTTTATTTAGATTAAAACCATTCTCATTAATTTGGTGAGGAACATAGCGGTTTGAGCAGCATTTGCAGACGCTGTCATGCTGTTGGCCATATGCACTGCAGCAGACGCATATTGCAGTATTAAGGCTAACGATTAATCGATTAATTGATCGTTAATTTAAACGACGATCGATCATGGGAATTTGTGAAAATTGACATCCCTAATGGATGACATTCTGCAAGGTGCAAGTTCTCTCGCTCGCTTTCCCTCTCTGCCGTGTGCGCGCGCGTTACGCGGTTTGGAGCACAATCTCTGTCTCGCGTGCACGCTCGCTCTAGATTCCGGGAGATTTTAACTATTTGCGGCACAACTAGTCGATTACGAGTGGCTCAACGGGTAGATATATAGATAAACTCATCTTCCAGGCACTTGACCGACCAGGTTGACACTTCAGCGTGAGAAATCTGGGGTGTGAGCATGTGAAACCAATCAAATGCGTGTGTCTCACGGCCAATGCGTGACAGTTGGCAACTCTGAGAAGGTGTGAGGAGGATTTCAATCAAAAAAGGAGATCAAATAATAAAGACTGGCACATACAGTCATGTGAAAAATAAAGGACACCCTATTGAATTCTGTGGTTTATGTATCAGGACATTATGAAAAAATCATCTGGTCCTTGGCAGGTCTTAAAATTAGGTAACACCCTCAGATGAACAACAACACATGACATATTACCCTGTGTCAATATTTATTTAAAAAAAAAAACTAGGCCAAATAGAAAAGCCAACTAAGTACACCCTTACTGCTTCCATGGGAATTAGAGGGTAAGTAGCAGTCAGGCACTGCTAATCAAATGTCTTTGATTAACTGATCATCAGCAGGTGTGACCACCTCTTTAAAAGCAGAGGTTTTGGCAGTTTGCTGGTCTGGAGCATTCAGGTGTGTGTTAACACAATGCCAAGGAGGAAATACATCAGCAATGGTCTTAGAGAAGCAATTGTTGCAGCCATCAATCAGAGAAGAAACAAAACATTTTGAAGTCCATCATTCTACAGTAAGGAAGATTATTCAAAAGTGGAAAACATTCAAGACAGCGGCCAATCTTCCCAGGAGTGGACGTCCCGGCAAATTCACCCCAAGGTCAGACAAATGCCCACAAACCTCAATAAACTGAAGCAACGTTGTAAAGAATAGTAAGCCAAAGTTCCTTCAGAATAATGCGAGAGACTGATACTGTCAAACAGAAAACGATTCCTTCAACTTATTGCTGCTAAAAGTGGCTCTACGAGCAATTGAATCATTGGGTGTACTTAGTTTTTCCACCCATGGCTTTTCCATTTTGGCTTTATTTTTGTTAAATAAATGATGACACGGTGTAATATGTCATGCGTTGTTGTTCATCTGAGGTTGTATTTACCTAATGTAAGACCTGCTAAAGTCCAGAGGATTTTTATTATGTTCTGATACGTAAAACCATACAATTCTAAAGGGTGTGCTTTCTTTTTAAACATGACTGTATATGCTGATTTTCAACAAACCTCATCCACCAGAATGGATCCGTTTAGGATATCTGAGAGTCCCTGTCGACATCTTCATTCCACATACTCTTGAGATGCTTCAACTTTCAGAGGTTTGGTCATAGTTCTGCTGGAATGCCTTAACAAATCTTTTTGCCATAACTGTGGAGAGGAAGGACATAAGGGAAACTGTTTAAAATTGCTGAAATGCAGGAATTGCACAGGTGACTATCCATCTCCATCAAAGAACTGTCCCTCGTGGATAAAAGAAAAAGAAATTCAAAAAGTGAAATGCCTTAAAAGAGTGAAAGACTATGGAGAAGCTCAAAAAGGTTGAAAAGCTTCCTATTTTTCGGGAAGTGGCTGATTGCAAGACAGATCTGACCTTGTGAGAGCGAAAACCCATAATTAATCAGCAAAACTTCAACAAAAAAGAAAACACAAAGCACCCAAACTTCTAGTTAAACACAAACCGAAATGAGTGAAGACCAAAGTTTAGAACAGATCACAGAAAGCTGACTCCATTAAAGACGTAAATATGGCGGAGAGCATGGCTCCCTGCAGTCGGAGCCCCTCTCCTAAAAGTAGGAGTAGAGGCCAGGGGCCGATCTTACCAACATAACTGTTTTATTCAGTGGAACTGTCGTTGTGTTAAGGCACTTTTTTGCATAATTTAGCAACCAGCCATGATTCTTTTAAAGATTTGAAGATTAATAACAACGATCGGTGCCTTCTCAACGATGGCTCAAATACCTACTTGCACCATGGAACATATTCTGCAATTGAAATAACAATATGTGAGCCTGAACTTTTACTTGTTTTTTCGTGGCAAAATGGGATGATTTATGTCGAAGTGACCACTTCCCCCTCATCATGACCTCCATAAGATCAGACTTTCAACATAAAAACCTTAGATGGAAACTTAAAACAAAAAGTTGGAAAAAAAAAGCCAACTGATACCTTTTTCAGACCCAGTGCTGTGAGGTTTTTTTTATATAGCACTTCATGAATGTGAAGACCATGTTAGTAGTTTTACAGATGTACTTATGGAAATAGCAAATTAAACTATACCAAAGACATCATCAAAGCCAAGTCGTAGGATAACCAATACGTGGTTTGATGACGATTGTAAAAAGGCTTAAAGATCTGAGAAAAGCAGAGCAGGATCTTCAACAAACATCCAACAAAAGAAAATGTTATAAAGTTTAAAATAAGTTGAGCACAAGGACATCAATGAGTCATAAATGATACAAAGAGACAGAGGTGGTCCTCAAGTACGGCATTTTAAACTTTTGGACACCCTTTTAACCACAAGCCAAGAAATAACTAATGTTTTAGTTATGTCATTCAAAAAGAACTCTTCGCTAGAAAACTGTCGACTTGAATTTAAGAAAACACGAACTCAGCAGGAGCAGAAACCTTCTTTTTTTTCAAATATCACTGAACCATATAATCAACCTTTTACTATGGAGGAGAAACAGGTTTACATGCAGTGGTTAAGATTTGGCAGGTGGGGGAACCCCTCAAATTTTGTGTAGGTGCAACAGGGGAAAATGACTCACCGTGGGACAACATATTGAGTATCGTGGTATAGAAATACTTCTAGTGGCACCAAGTATCACAATACTTATTTACTTGATATTTTAATGGTTTTATTTTGGTCCATCCACTGGAATGATGATGATATGTTAAAATTGCTGAACACCACAATATGGAACACATGTAAATTTAAACATAAAAATGGGAAGTCCAAAACTGACTCAAAATTAACATACCAAAATGGCTGAAGACCGCTATAACAGAAATAAATGTCATATTTATGTGTACCCACCCCACCCCACCCCACCACAGACACGTGCATTCAAATGTGAGGTAGTGAGGGGGATTGGGGGGGGCATGCTCCCCCGAGAAAATTTGGATTTCTCTGACCTATACATATGTGCAATTTAGGACTTTTGAAGGCCAAAAAATTTGATAAGAAATAGCTTTAAAACCTTGTCATTAGATTAATTGTCAATACCTGCTCTCTCCTCATCTTCATCTTTCTATTGCTCTCAGTCTCCTTATCCTGCTCGATTTCTTCCCCTCTTAAAGCTGAACTTTGACTGATAGTCTTTTCATTTTCGTCCGTGTCAGTGAAGAAAGTAAGTTTAGGCTCAACTGATATATGGTTTTTGAATCATTTTAATTTACACAAGGCTACCAGGAAAGCTGTAGCCTAAGTCAGTATTGCCAATAGGAACCTTCTACAAGCTTTGGAATTTGTAAACGTCTGTTTTTAAATGTTCCGGCTCTCTTTAACCCGTTTACATGGAATATTTCCGAATATATCACCCGAATGTGCTTTAGATTTTCTATCTTATGTCAAGTTTAAATGTTTTATATAATAATAAAAATGTTATGGATTGTGATATTGACCTTGTGTTTGCCATGTACATGAAAATGAACCCTTTCGTTAAATATATGCACTATATTAGCCTGTATATTCATTATATTTTACTTAACCTGTTAGTGATGTCTTAATTATTTAATTTGTTTAAATAAAACTGTCCTGAAAATTACAACCACTGTGTAAATGTATAAATGAATTATAGTTCAACAACAAATTGGATTAAAAAATATATTTGCATAATTAGATTTAGAAGTTCATGCAAAAACTGCCTTATGAGCAGTTTAAATGTTTGTATACAATTTATGTGTTGGTCATTATATCTAAAAAATAAAATAGTAACTGAATTTAGGATAATAGTTTAGGCTCTATATTGTTAGGCTAACCTATAATATTATAGTAATGTGCAAGTAAGGGCTCCCAATATAGTTTATAGCATTAGCAGAGATAGTTTTTTTTTATCCTTAAACTTAATTATAATTGAATTCATTTAACGACTGAGACACAATTTGTTCAGTAAACCACTGTTTAATAAAAAAACAAAATTGGCCGATGCAAGATATGTACCGATCCCTCAGTTTTGTGTACCGTGTTTATTCCCAGCATACACAATTTGACTGGCTTATTTTCTGTTTTGTCTCTCTCTCAGGTATGACTATAGAGGTGTTTGGTACAGTAATTGGCACTGCCGTCCAGGGGCAGATTGTAGGCATGGCCAACGTCCCCTGCATTAACAACACAATCCTGAGCAACAGCTCCAATCACTCTGTGCATGGCAATAACTCTCAGATCTTAATGGACTATAGAATATTGAATGAGGTGAGGGGATTGTGGTATAAAGTAGAGGATGGTTTCAAATCTCATCCACACTCTGCACATGAATAATCATATCTTTCTCTCTTTTACAGAGGCGTGCATATATGATTGCATCTGCAGTCATAAGTTTGATCTACGTTCTGTGTGCTGTTGTGCTGTTTTTTGGAGTAAGAGAGCAGGACAGTGAGTTACTTCCCTTTGCATACACATTCACACTGAGTCAGTACAAAATGTGGAATATAAAAACATTCAAATAAAACAGAAAAAAGCCAGAGGCCATGATTTACATTGATTTTACAGCAAGGTACCAGTGATATAATGGTAATCGTTACTAGGGATGCACCGATATAAAACATTTGGCCGATACGATCATTCTTTATATTTGAAAGCCGATAACCGAAATATTGGCCGATAAATCAAAATCCAAACTCTGAAATACTTTAAGAGCCTGATTACAAAAACAAAAGGCTCACCTTGAAAAGCCATGTCCCAAACACTTCAACATAAATCACACACACTGGTTCAAACTAGGCTACTGTATTGTAAACGTTTTAAAATTAATTTTACACTCCTATGGCCAACTTTATAAAAACAAATGATAACACTTTACAGTTGGGTTTCATTTTGTTAGCATTAGTTAACATGAACCAACAATGAATGAACAATGCTTCTACAGGATTTATTAATCTTAGATGATTTTAATCTCAACATTTTTAAGATCCAAAGTTGTATCTGTTAACATTAGTTAATGCACTGTGAACTAACATGAACACAAATATTTTATTAACTAACATTAGCAAAGGCTATTGCTCTCTGTTAGTTCATGCTAGTTAATGCATTAACAAATGAGACCTTGTTGTAAAGTGATACTAAAAAATCTATTGCCTAACACAAAAAAATAAAAATAAAATACCTAAATAATGCAAACAAGTCATTGGACAACATTACTTAGGCTGCAAATAAAGAAAAAATGATTAAATGTGCATGTGCCATGGATAAATAAAATGAAACAGGAAATGATTTTAATCAAACCATATTGTTGATGAAGATAATACGAGAACATTAGTTATTAATAATAATAACGCATCAATGTTTTTGAAAAAAACATTCAGCGCGCAGAAGCTATAGATGATCACCAGTACAATGAAGCGCTGCGGGTTATTTAACTTAATGAAACACATCCTATATGAGATTAATAAGATATTTATACTACATAAACTTAATATTACAACTCATATCTACGCAAATGTACAAGTCATGGTGTAACTCTTCCTCATCTTTGGATCTTCACCAGTGTGACATCGTGTTTCAAGCAATCCAAACCCATCATGGCGAACAGCGCGCATCTGAAGTGTCTCAGCTGAAGGAAATAATAAATGTTCTGTTGGCTTTAATATATTGGCCTAATTTTCTTATCGGACCGATAACGATAACATTAAAAATGACCATTTATTGGCTGATATTGATATGTGGCTGATATATTGTGCATCTCCAATAGTTACATTACAGTTGAATTGTTCATTTGATTAACTAATGCTTTAGGTATCATGAACTAAAAATGAATAATACTTTTATAACATTTATTAATTTGGTTAATGTTCATTTCTCAAGTTGTTTAAATGAACATTAGTTAAAGTATTATGTTTTATATATATACACTACCGTTCAAAAGTTTGGGGTCGGTACGATTTTAAATACTTTTAGAAGAATTCTCTTCTGCTAACCATGGCTGTGCTTATTTGATTAAAAATACAACAAAAATCAGTTATAGTATTAAATATTATTCCAGTGTAAATCAGCTGTTTTCTGTGTGAATATATAGTAAAGTGTAATTTATTCCTGTGATCAAAGCTGAATTTTCAGCATCACCAGTGTCAGTGTCTTCAGTGTCAAATGATCCTTCACAAATCAGTATAATATGAGGATTTGATGCTCAAGAAACATTTATTATTATTATCAATGTTGAAACAGTTGTTGGTCTGTCAGTTGTACAGTTTTTTTGTTTTGTTTTTTGGATTCTTTGATGAATAGGAAGTTCAAAAGAACAGCATTTGTTTGAAATAGAATCTTTTGTAACATTATAAATGTCTTTACTGTCCTTGATAAATAAAAGTATTGATTTCTTTCCTCCAAAAAATAAAAATAAAATTCTCACTGACCCCAAACTTTTGAACGGTAGTGTATATATATATATATATATATATATATATATATATATATATATAACAATTCTTCTGTCGAGTTCATATAGTAATCTAACTCGAATTTCCCAACTTTTTTTGTTAAACTTTGACCTAAAATGTTTACTTGAAAGTCCCTCCTGAGATTAAGTTAATATTTAAATAATTTAACAACACATTCACATATGGTCATGGTTCTCTGATATTTAATCTTTTTATTAAATGTTTTATTTTGTTGATTTTTTTGGTAACCCTTTAGTTTAGGGTCCAATTCTCACTGTTAACTATTTGCTTATTATCATGCATATTACTAGGATATTGGCTGTTTATTAGCAATTATAAAGCACATATTAATGCCTTATTCTGCATGACCATATTCTACATCCCTTAACAACTTAACAACTACCTTATTAACTATTAATAAGCAGTAATTGGGAGTTTATTAAAAGCAAAGGTCATAGTTAATAATAGCTAGTAAATAGTGAGAATTGGACCCTAATCTAAAGTGGGACCTTTTTTTTAAATTTATTTTCATTTGACACTTTTAGGATTTAATTATTAGCTTTTCATTGATTCACAAACCCCAGTTTAGGAAACCCTTGTCTATTTTTATTAACATCGAATGTGTTTTTTGATGCATTTAATGATTTCCTTTTTCCTTTTTCAGATCAGGGTGGTTTAAAAGCACAAAAGCATGTGTCGTTTCAGACCGGTCTGCGGCTGGTAATAGGTCACGGGCCGTATGTGAAACTGGTGCTGGCCTTCCTCTTCACTTCTCTGGCCTTCATGGTAATAAAAAGATGTTGGTGTCTTTTAAATAGCATGCATGTTCGTTCGGATATGCTGAAATGTACTTATTTTAATTCCTTGATTTATGATGAGAGATATCCCAGATTCCACATTGTTTACAAAAGACGAAAATGTTTTCTTTTAACTGACAAATTCTCAGGCCATGAATGTCTGTGATAGTATGTTTAAGTGAAAGCAGTTTCTGGAACTGACCACGTCACAGCTCTGTTACAGAGATGGGCTATGTGTGTTAAAACAAAGAGAGCCACAGAGAGAGAGAGACAGAGAGACGCTGCCATGCAAGAGATTAGGTTTAGAATCACAGTCAGCATTAGGACAGGTCTGCGGTCAAAAGTGAAGTTCAGAATTGGTTTGAGATTGAAGTTGGGTTTGAAATGAAGACACTGTATGGACAATAATAATCAATCGTTTGAAGGAATCTCAGTTCGTCTGTCTGTTTTTTTTCTTTCTCAGCTGCTGGAGGGAAATTTTGCTTTGTTCATCAAATACACACTGGGATTCAGAGAGGATTTTCAGAACATCTTACTGGTCATCATGGTGAGAGTGTTTTCATCCGATCACTTGAATAAGTGTTTTTGTACGCTTCTAAATTGTTTGTTTTCGTGTTATAAGAGCACTCTCGGGTTTAGATGAGGTTAGCAGTCTCCATAGTGATGAAAGACATGCTTTTCTAGTTTAAAAAGCAGCATGACTTTGAGGCAACAGATGAAAAGACTTTTTAACTTCAGCAGTGTGTGCAGATGCACACTATTATCTGACTCTTGCATAATATGGTAATGAGGTTTTGTAGTGGTCAGACATAAATAAATGTTTGTGCAATTTGTCTTTCCAGCTGTCTGCCACTCTTACCATTCCCATGTGGCAGTGGTTCCTATGCCGATTTGGGAAAAAGACTGCTGTATACATTGGCATCACAGTGGGTATCTGATTGTCCTGTTGCGTTAGTGAGAGAAGTGTGCGACGGCAGTGATGATTAATCTTGTGTGTGTGTTTTTAGTGGGCGGTGCCTTTCATTATCCTGGTGGTGTGTGTAAAGAGTAGTCTCATCGTGTCCTACATCGTATCCATCGCAGCTGGTGCCAGTGTGGCAGCGGCCTTCCTCCTGCCCTGGTGAGTGTTTGTCTGTGGTGCACATAACAGAAACATTAAGTTTCAGAACAGAACTGAATATTTTCAGAGTATTTTTTTAAAAATCTTATTTAATCTATAGACCTTATGTAGCCACGCCCCTTTTCCGCGCGTAGTTATGAATGAACGGCTCGTTAAAAAAATTCCTAAGGTCTATTTGTTAAGACATATGCTTTACAATGCTTATCATAAACATTACAATGCTCATGATAACTTTCGTTAACTCTACAATAAGTAAATCAACTTCACCAGCTAATTACTCCTGGACAGCGATGCCATAGAAATATACAGAGCGACCGCAAAAACGGAAGTTCAAAGACAATATTCTAAAGATGGCGGCGCCCTCGTTTCTCTGGTGCATAAGGTCTATAGTAATGAACAGAAGAGAGAGATATAGGTAGGTTTGGCATGTGTTAACTTAAGTTGTGCTGTAGTCAAAGAGAAAGGAGACAGAGGTGTATTTCAGGATGTTTGCTAGTTGATATTAAAAGGAAGCATCTATAACAAAAGGCCATTAGAAATATGACTTCTTTAAAACCAACTGAATCATTGGGGAATATTTACATGCCTAAAATTAATACTCGCCAAGCCAAATGTAAGTAAAAATCGGCATTGGTAAGTAAATGAAATTGTTAGAATTCATAACAATTTACTGGGAAACTGGCAATTGACACAGTGCAATGTTGACAATACAAACGTGAACGACGCTCGGGACAGTTGACGGGACAGTGTTGCATCGTCATGAAAGTTTAAGCCTTGCCAATTAAAATTTTCAAGCGCAAGAAGATGCAAAAGGGAGCTCATTTCGTTACTCACGCACTGTGTAGGAAGTTTAGTGTGCGCACACATCCAAAGCAGATCTCTGAAAGCTGCGTTACAGACAGCGTGCAAATTCTGAGCTCTTTCACGTCGTCTTGCGTTTGAACGGACAAATTTGCGCAAAATTGTGAAAAAAAAAAGCTTGTCTCGGCAAGTATCCTAGTAAACTGTCAGTGAATGTAAAATCAGTCAAGAAAGAAAAGGCATGTGTACTATAAGTATATTGGATCCATGCATTCGTCTTAAAGTGACAGCAGCCTAATATTCCTGCTGCTGTCTGGGTTTTAATGTTAATTTTAAATTGTAACTTTAATAAGGATTAATCTATGTTTAATTTATACATTGAATAAAGTAATCAAATGTAAAATAACACTTGATAATCTTCAGTGGCTGTTATTGAAAACTACCATTACTTGTATTTTAATAACGATTTAAATTTATATTACTGTAGTTAGGCTAGTAGTTTTAGCTGTGGTATTGAAATGGCGATGGAGAATTTTTCATTTTCACTGGTATCTAAAATGTTGGTGTCATAACCTGTTTTTGCTTAAACAGTTTAATGGCTGGTACAAAATATGTATGGCCTGTAAGTTTTCTTAAAGGGATAGTTCACCCAAAAAAATTAAAATTCTGTCATTAATGACTTACCCTCGTCGTTCTAAACCTGTGAGACTTTCGTTTATCTTGGGAACACAAATGAAGATCTTTTTGATGAAATCTGAGAGCTTTCGGTCCCTCTATTGACAACTATGCAACTGACACTTTGATGCTTCACTGGATAGTTCATAAAGAGATCGTAAAACTAATCCATATGAATTGAGCGGTTTAGTCCAAATCTTCTGAAGAGACTCGATCGCTTTATATGATGAACAGATTTAATTTACCTTTGTTCAAATATAAACATTCATCAACTCACACATCAGTTGTGGTAAACGGAAGCTCAGGCATGTTCGCTTGTTGTGCGAGAACCAGTGAGGTTCATTCTCGTGTTACGCAGAATGTTTGAGCTTCTGCAAAACCAATGAAGTTCATTCTCGCGCATCAAGCAGGTTCGGTTGAGCTTCTGTTTATGTTTGCTGATCAATGTTTAAATATGAATAAAAGTCTAAATTAAATCTCGGCTGGAAATGATTCACATTTTCTGTATGGTATTCAAGTCAATCAGGAAAATGTTTAATATTTATGTTTAAAAACAACAAACTTTGTTAAACAAAAAGAACATTCATGAAAACAAATTAAGACATTATTTTATATATATTTTTCACATGCTTTTAATTGACAGGAAAGACATATATGAAGCAGTACAACTGTTTTCATGTGTTCCTCAGTCACAGGAGTAACTTGAATACATTCCCTAAAAAGTCATATGAAGTTGTTGATCATTTTATCAACTCGTGAATTTAGGAAACTAACACAACTGTTCCTGCGGACAGTTAAGGTTAATTAACTAAATTAACTTAATTATCTAAAGTTATTATTTCAGACATAAATGTGCTTCTGTTTCAGGTCCATGCTTCCAGATGTGGTAGATGATTTTAAAGTCCAGAATCCTACCTCTCAAGGCCATGAGGCTATTTTCTACTCCTTCTACGTTTTCTTCACCAAATTCGCCTCTGGAGTGTCGCTTGGAGTATCAACACTATCATTAAGGTAGCTCGTCCTTTTTGCGTCTGTATTAAAAAGCTCTTTCATGGGTTCGTGACAACAGATCATGATCTGGGTTTACAATCTGGCCTTCACATTTAAAGGAGAACTCCGGCGCAAAATGAACCTTTGGTCTAATTACACATTGGTACCTAGTCAACCGTTATCTGAGATTTGTTTTCATGATTATCGAATGTAAATAGTTTTATCTCTAAAAACAGTTTAGCCTATAAAGCTAGTATAACGCTAGTATATTGGGCATAGTGTAATGACAAATAAAAATCGCTTGTTAATACCACTAACAAGGCTGAAAATAGACCCACACTAACACTGTAGCATAATGAGGGTCCCTACCTTCAAACCGAAGCATTGAGAACTTTGTAAGTGTACAGATAGTTTAATAAGAAGATATTTTAAACATACAGTCAACTTCGCGTATACAGGCAGGAGCCATCTTTGAAATACAGTCTCTACCAGTCGATCTACGAACGCCGATCCAAGTGCGCTGGTGAGATGTGAACGAGCTATAAGTTGTGGTAAGGTGAGCGCGAACAGCAGGCTTGGATCGGCGTTCGTAGATCGACTGGTAAAGGCTGTATTTCAAAGATGGCTCCTGCCTGTATACGCGAAGTTGACTGTATGTTTAAAATATCTTCTTATTAAACTATCTGTACACTTACAAAGTTCTCAATGCTTCGGTTTGAAGGTAGGGACCCTCATTATGCTACCGTGCTAGTGTGGGTCTATTTTCAGCCTTGTTAGTGGTATTAACAAGCGATTTTTATTTGTCATTACACTATGCCCAATATACTAGCGTTATACTAGCTTTATAGGCTAAACTGTTTTTAGAGATAAAACTATTTACATTCGATAATCATGAAAACAAATCTCAGATAACGGTTGACTAGGTAACAATGTGTAATTAGACCAAAGGTTCATTTTGCGCCGGAGTTCTCCTTTAAGCTGCTCATGTTTTGGTTCTTTTGCTCTCCATCTCTTTAGCTTTGCAGGTTATGTGACGGGAGTTTGTGTTCAGTCTGATTCTGTGAATCTGACATTGAAGATGTTGGTGGCGGCTGCTCCTGTGGCACTTATAGCTCTGGGGCTGCTCATCTTTAAAACATATCCCATCGATGAAGAACGCAGGCAGAACAACAACAAACTGCTCCAGTTGCTGCTGCTGTAGGACATACACTTATGATTCTATCTGTATTTTTTTTTTTATATATTGAGAACCCTTGGGTCAAAAAAAGTCATGAATGCCACTTTAGTCATGCCAGCAATTAATATCTACTATTTTATCGTTTCTTACCTTGCAGGAGTGAAGAACAAGAGTCTGAGATGGAGGCATTGAAGCCTGATATCACAGCATGAAATGCCAGCGTGACTGTTCCTGCTCTGGCCTACAGAGGGTGCCAAAATACATCTTAACCACTGCAATGAGAGAAATCCTATCAGCTGAGCTTTCAGAGACAGAACTTTCCTCACTCAGCTGGTTAACCGACCAATGAGGGATGGAGGGGAACCCTTATATATCTGCACTGCTGTTATGACAGCTACTTATTTATACAACCATAACAACTATTTGCTGCTTTCAGTAACAGTTTCAGCTCTCCCTGGCCAACAAAGGGAGACTTGTGAGATGAAGTTCAAATCTACCATCTACTAATACATTGTTTTGTTGTAACTCTTTTTTTTTTTTATCTCATTTGATTCATATTTTGTTTTTTGAATGTAAAGGAAATGTTGAGTTGCGGTTTTTCGAGGACATAGTTCCTCAATGTGGTGAAGAATTGTTGGTTTGTTTTTGCACTGGGGGTAAACAAAAAAACTTTCCATTTCTTTAAATAACACATGAAGTCATTGTGCCTGTGTAGGGCAGTTTATTAGCCTGAGGAAGATTTTTTTATGGTTCAGTATTTATTTATAGTGCCTTCTATTGAGATTTTCAGAAACTTGATCAAATGAGTTTATAGTATTTATTTAGCACAAGTAAAATTCTAGTCACAGCTCATAATAGTGTCAATTACCTGAATCTGCAGCTGTGCCAAATAGCCAGTAACTGATTAATAGAATGTTTAGATTCAATATTTTATTGTTCATTGGTGAAGTATTTTTTCTTGCATGAAATGTAAGTATTTCTGTACGTTTGTGTTTTTTTTTCTGTGGTAAAAACGTGATTGTGCACATAAAGAAGCAGTCTTGGCTGTTTCACAGACTGGATAATGACTGAATTTAAAGATGGTGCTGTAAGGTTTTCATTCATGCTCTGTCTAGAGGGATGTGGTAGATGGCTCATGTGCTGTAATATTATAGACCTGCAGTTTACTTCTCTCTATAAACTCTGAGATGAAATGCAAAAATCTTTGTTCAGCAGCACAACGTGTCTGTAGACAAAAGATTTATTGGGAGATTATTATTTTTTTCCGTCAAGACCACAAACGCCACCAGAACATTACACAACTGCAAAATGTACAATATGTCTATACATTGTATTGTGGTAAACGTACTGACGTTGTGTTATTTATATTGTGCTTATTAAATATGTGTGTAGGCCTATTGTAAATACTGACACACTTTCAAAAACTTTTTTGGTCTGACAACCTGGCCAAAAATTGTCTACTCAATTTGGCATGTTTCATTCTGTTGTCATCACAAATAAAACAATTGACTCCAAGCACAACTACGCAATATGATTAAAAGTAAGTCTTTCAAATTATTATTATTATTATTATTTTTAATAATGTATGGGCGCCCTCTAATGGCCAATACTGCATAGTGCGAGCGGAAATCAATTATAGATGACCAATCACATCTGATGAATACCAAATGAACCTTTCTCAAAGGGCCTTTTTGATTGTCTAGTTTAAACCTGAAGGATAAAGGATACGTAAAGCACAAGCAAAATTTACTTATAGATAATTGATATGAAAGTGAACAGCATCACTCGCCTAGTTCTAGGTTCGATTCTTGTCATTTTCTCCAGACCAGCATTATTGAATAGTGGCGTATCTTTATCAGATGAGAGAGTCGATCGCCCACACACAGCACGCGAGAAACACCCTGGGAAACTTGTAGTGAGCGATCCATTCACAAACACGCCGGACTTGACGCGCCAGAGATCGGTGCCTGTCCTGCGGATCCGGGGCAGAACACCTGCGAGGAGGATCCCACCTGGCCCAGATTACCTGCCCAAATTCACCCGCCTCCCGGACGTGTCGGTGATTTGCTCGAGCAGCAGTTTCGTCTTAAGGGTGAAGAAGATTTTCTACGGTTTCTCGGCCGCCGCAGAGGAGCTGACGCTCGGAGAAACCTGCAAAAGCAACGGGGTCGTTGAGCCGCATAAAGACTTGCTCTTCACATACGCGCTCACGGACTGTCAGGGTGAACAACAGGTGATTGTCATCGTCATTTTCAAAAGAATCTAGGAATCTCTGTTGTCTATCATCATTGCCAAATAATGACATGACTCATCTCCAAATGAAAGGTGTTTCCTGATTACGTAGTGTACAAGTATGTCCTTCACTACGTGCCACTCTTACACCAAAACCCGTTCATTCACCGCAGAGTGAACGTCGGCGTGGAATGTCGATATAAAAGGTAATAAAAGGTCGTGTTTTGGTTTTGAGTCGGTTCACTAAAAAGTAATGAAACATTATGAAACATTTCAGTTCTGTTTTTTACAAATACATTTTTGTACTTTTAATTAGCTACGAGGCTATTTTTATTTTATTAAACATTTTTTTTTTTATCCGGGTTTGAATAAAAATGGAAGCCCGTTTCCGCCATAAATAAGTAATAATAATGCATAAATTATTTAATTCATAAAAAAAAAGTCATAAATGAGAAACTTTATCGTAATATTAACATCTTGTAAGTAATAATGAGAAACTTTCTCATAATAATGACTTAACATCTCCATAATAATGAGAAACTTTCTCGTAATTATGACTTAACATCTCCATAATAATGAGAAACTTTATCGTAATAATGACTTATATTCTCCATAATAATGAGAAACTTTCTCGATGACTTATATTCTCCTGATATTCTCCATAGATATTCTCGCACTTCTACGCATGCGCACAGCAGTGGAGTAGAAGGGAGTGTCACGGTATAGCGACATCCGCTGGTCAAAGCCGTACGTGTAAATGCATCATAGCAAACATGGCACGCTCTGCAGTGAATCTAACATTAATGATAAATTATCAGTATATGAGACAGGCTTCCATACTAGATAATCTTTTATTCATTTGTAATATTCATTTGTATTTTTGTGTATGAACAAGCAGCAACACAGAAGGGTGATCCATGGATTTCAATTAGATGGAGGAATGATACAGCACCTTTCCAAATCTGTTAGAACGCATCATCTGGAAATTTGTGTACAAACATATTTTCAAGCAGTTTTGTTATTGCATAAGGTTCCGATCATAGCCTACAGAACGCGCTCTTCATTCCACTGCGCTGCTTTTTCGTTACTTTTCTAGGCAAACGCGCACTAGACGGAAGTTGTGCTCGCGTCTTTTTTTAATTTTTTACTGAACAAATATAACAGCAAATACAGTTACATCTCAAAACAGAATTAAACAACAACAATACAAATATAAACAGTAGACAAAAAGCCAGTAAAAGCAAGTAAAGTAAAAAGCAAGTAAAATGGAAAAGTACGGAAGATATACTGATGCTTTTTAATTGATTATTTAATGATAGGCTACTACAGATTGCATTTCGTAGATCACACTGACTTTAATGAAAACAACTGTTTTGCAGAGCGTGCCATGTTTGCTGTGATGCATTTACACGGCTTTGACCAGCGGATGTGGCTGAGTATTACGATAAAGTTTCTCATTATTATGACATCTTTTTTTTTTTTACAAGTATTTAAAAAAAAAAAGAAGAGATACCTTACCAGTTTTACTATTATTCTTTAAAGAGTTCAAATTATTAGGCTATATTATCAAATAATTGATAAATAAATAAATATACAATAATCAATGTAGAAAATATTAGTATTAAATGTAGATAGACTAATTCCTAAGCATCTTAATCATGCATTTTTTCATAGTGTTTTAAGAGCAAAATTCAAGCACTTTCCCTTTTTTATAATTATTTTGTATATATAAATACGTATAGCATGTATGTGTTTAAGAAAAATGTGTTGTTTATATATGAGATATTTATAAAACTATTTATAAAATATTTATATATGTATAAATAATATATATATATATATATATAATTATGTATAAATGTATATGTAATGTATATAAACTAAATGCAAATATTTTCATAAATAAATAAATAAATATATATATATATATATATATATATATATGTATGTGTGTGTGTGTGTGTGTGTGTGTGTGTGTATGTGTGTGTATTTATATATACAAAATAATTATACACCATACACACACATATATTGTGTGTACTGTGATATAAATGATATAATATATTACACAAAGAGCTAAATAAAAAAATAAATAATTTTGAATCTAAATGTGCCAGGCAAAAACATTAGAGGATGCAAGAACGCAATAAAAGAAAGTTAAACACTAAATTTATCCCCAAAAAAAATTAAATAGATGAGACATTTAACTAAAGTAAAACAATTTGTTGTGATCCGTATTGTTAAATTTGGTAAAATCATTGAAGGTCAGCATCAAAGAAGACACTGGTATTAAAAATGCAAACACATTTTCAAACCTTGAAAACATAACAGTTAAGCACTTTCCAAGCTTTCCAAACTCTGTATGAACATCTTAATTATGATGTTAATTGAAGTTAAGAAAGCAGTTGTAACCACAGGCAGACTCTTGATGACCAACAGAGGCTCGTAAGAGATAACCGAATCGAACAGAAACCATGACACTTTTAGGTTCTGTTTATTTTATTATTACATTTTACATTATAATACGTTTTTTGTTCAAGTGGTTCTGCATACATTATCATTTGGATTCATGAATTAAACAAGGAAGCAATTTGTTGATTGTAAGATTTCTTATTTCAATAGTAAAAACAAAGAGTTCATAAAAGGCACAATCCACATTAACTCATTCACAAATCATTCCAAAAAGTTTTTAAAAAGGCACAATTATGAAATTATTTTGTCATGTAGGCTTAGAGGTAAAAATAATTATGATTTGACAAATTAAGTAATTTCATAATCGTAAAAATAATTATGATTTGACAAATTAAGTAATTTCATAATCTTTTATGACTGTTTTTCATTCCAGTCCAGGATGAGGAGAAACACTGTTCTGTTGTTTGTTATTTAGGAACCATCATGTGCACCGTCTGACCATGAGCCCGACGTGGCAGACACCATTGCGCAAAGTCATCAGGAGCCGATCTGGTGACTTTCAGATTCAGCTGATGGACGGTGAGCAATTTTTGTTGTTTAAAAAGAAAGGAAAAGGAACACATTATCATTATGCATTAATAACTTGTATCACATTTTTTACCTGTCTGCATCACTTGACAGAGAAACATCACATATCTTCAATACAAAGGTTTTTTTTTCTTGAAAGTTTATATGTATATGTATGTATGTATATATATATATATATATATGTACATGCATACAGTACTGTGCAAAAGTCTTAGGCACGTTAGTATTTTCACCAGAAAAAAAATGTTTTTTAGCCAGTTACACTATCTTTTGCTGTAGTGTGTCAGTAGGAACTATCAGTTCCAGAACTATCTGTTGTCAGACTCCGTGTGCATACAAAAAACGTATTTTTACAATTAATGGCAAAAGGAATGTTTGGAAATGTAAACGGATATTTCCAACTGACACACTACAGCAAAATCTATAAATAATTTTGTTCTCATTTGTAAGTCGCTTTGGATAAAAGCGTCTGCTAAATGAATAAATGTAAATAACTGGTCTAAAACCATTTTTTTTTCTGGTGAAAATTGTGCCTAAGATTAAAACCTTCTTTTTTTTCACAATATGAATCAAATATGTATAGAAAAGTCAAATATTTTGTATAATTGAGCTATAAACATGCTTAACTAACTTGCTCAAAAAGATTGTCTTCAAACTGTTACCAGCCAAGCATATTTAGAAGCTTTTTATTTTACATTCCATTACTTGCACAGACATAACCCCATAACCACAGCCAAAACCTTGTTTTTAATCTAACCCTGATTTAATCCGTAAACTTGTTCTCTTTCATGGTGATTGTAAAATGATGCTGGTGGTCTTATGTAATGTATGGCTGTTGTGTGTTTGCCTGTGCTGTAGACTCCTGGTCTTCTCCAGTCAGGTCTGCTGTGTACCTGCTGGGTCAGAATGTGAACGTGCAGATCTCCACTCGACATCATTACTCTGGGGTCAAGCTTTTTATCAACAGCTGTTATGTGGCTACCGTTAACACCTTGAGTCAAGACACCAAATACAGCATCATAGACAATTACGGGTGAGTGGAGCAAAACGCTGACTTTGTGGAAGATTTATCAGATGCAAAACTTTCTCACACACACATCCAGGTGTTTACGGGAAAGCCGGATAAATTCAGGTGCTTCAAGATTCAGGTTCTCCAGGGCGGACAATGTTGTTCAGTTCTCATTTGGTGCTTTCCAATTCACTGAGGCTCCAGATGCCCAGGTGTGTTTATAAGCTTGGTTCTTTTCTCACCGCCGGTGAAACATTTTGAAGACAAAGCATAAGCAATGCTGTAGTGTGCGTTATGATGTGTTCATTGTGTTGATTTGCTCTAGGTCTCACTCCATTGTGAGCTCTCTGTGTCAGGAGGAGGCCCTAGTCCAACGCAGAAGTCATGTTTTTACAGGCACCCAGACAAAAGGTTAACAAGACTTCACATCTGCCTCAGTGTTATAAAGATCATGAATCACTCTTTTAACACTACCATTCCATTCCACACCACTTAATTCTCTAAATATCCGGTAAATTCATGGCTTCCATGACAGATGTTGACTTTAAAGATTCGTCTTCTTCACTAGATGGATCTCTGTGTTTGGGCAAGATTCTGTCTGTGACTGCTGTGACTCTGTCTGCAATCAGACTAAAACCAAACGAAAAATTCATGAAGGTAAGTATATAAAAAGCATAAGCACGAACATAAATAAATAATCAATCTGAGTATTCATACGCTAAAAAAAACCAAAAACATTAAAAACTTGTAAATTCACATTACTTTGGTGTGTAGGTTAAAAAAGTCTATTACTGGAAAGATGAAAAAGCCTGCACATGATATCCATGGAAGAATGTTTCGAGAATAATTATTACAAGGCAAAAAAAAGTACCAAATGTAACACAACTGTATTTTAGTATTATTTATATACTATTATAGTATTTATTAATGTTTTGGCCTAACTGATGCTTTTCAACAATCGAGAAAAATAGAAAAAAGTCAATAAATCAATTTTGTTTCGACGTGTTAAGAAATATCAAGATGAGAACAGACAAAAATATTTCTTACTATAATAATAGCTAAGTATAGTAATAAATAATATAAAAGTATAATATAACAGTACAGTGCCCTCCACTAATATTGGCACCCTTGGTAAATATGAGCAAAGGCGGCTTTGTAAATAAATCTGCATTGTTTATCCTTTTGATCTTTCATTAAAAAAATTTTCTCTGGTTCACGTTGCCACAATTATTGGCACCCAATTTTTGCAACCTCCTTTTGCCAAGAGCTCTGAGTCTTCTCCTATAATGCCTGATGAGTTTGGAGAATCTGACAAGAGATCAGAGATAATTCCTCCAAACAGAATCTCTCCAGATCCTTCAGATTTCCAGCTCCATGTTGCTCTTCTCTTCAGTTCAGCCCACTCATTTTCTGTAGGGTTCAGGTCAGGAGACTGGGACGGCCATGGCAGAAGCTTCATTTTGTGCTCAGTGACCCATTATTGTGTTGATTTTGATGTTTGTTTTGGATCATTATCCTGATGGAAGATCCAACCATGGCTCTTTACAAGTTTTCGATCAGGTTTTGATTTTTTTTTTATCTGTTGGTATTTGCTAGAATCCATGATACCATGTATCTGAACAAGAAGTCTAGAACCTCCATCAAAAAAATAGGCCCACAACATTTTTGAGTTTCATCTGACCATAGAATCTGGTCCCTTTTGAAGTGCCAGTTGTGTCTGAAAAATGAATATGCTGGAGATTCTTTTTGGATGAGCGAGGAGGATTTTTCTTGAAACCCTCCTCCCAAACTTGTGGTGATGTATGGGTTGTTTGAATGTTTTTAATTGTTGGCTTTCTGACCCCAAGACTCAACCAATCTCTGCAATTCTCCATCTGTGATCCTTGGAGAGTCTTTGGCCACTCAAACTTTCCTTCTCGCTGTACATTAGACTATATAGACACATGTCGTCTTCCAGGCAGATTCATCACATCTTTAGTTGATTGGAACTTCTTAATTATTGCCCTGATGGTGGAAATGGGGATTTTCATGCTTTAGCTATTTTCTTATACAGCCACTTTTTATTTTGTGAAGCTCAACAATCTTTTACTGCACATCAACTATATTCTTTGGTTTTACTCATTGTGATGGATGATTAAGGGAATTTGGCCTTTGTGTTTCCTCATATTTATACTATATGTCAGCCATGACTTCCTGTTACATATTTTACTTTTTTTTTTTTTTTTTACCAGGATGACCAGGAGCATGAGATTGTCCAGCCATGACTTGACTTCCTGTTACAGATGGATGAGTATAAATATGAGGAAACAAAGGAAACACAAAGGCCAAATTCCCTTAATCATCCATCACAATGAGTAAAACCAAATATATATGTGTGTGTGTAGATATAATACAGCAATAATTAAAACAGTACTAAGAAAGAAGGGCAAAGAGAAAGAGAGCGATAACAATACAATCACTACCAACTGGCAGGGGAAAAAAATGTCTTGTGCTCTTCTTATTAATATTTCAGGGGAGAAGAAAGTTTTTTGATATTTTGAGTTAGCTTTTATTTTTATATTTTCAGTTAAAAAAATTAAGTTGTAGTAATATTGTTGTGCTTTTTTCCATTATTATTATTATTATTGTCTATTAGCTTTATCAATTTTTTTTAGGTTTAGTAATTTTAGTACTTCAACCTCAATGTATTTATTTCAGTCTAGGCAACATTTAAAAAAAATCATGTTTCTTTATTTCAGTTTTTCATCTAATATTTATATTTTATTTTATTTGAGCTTTATATCTATTAGTTTTAGTTAACAATAACAACACTGATTGTGATTGACATAGTCATTAGCACACAAACAGTTAAATCTTAATATCTTTTATTAGAATTTATTTATGTAGATATCATGAGCTGACCTTTTCTATTTGCTTCCTTTAATTGTACTATTTTGGTCTCAAATTATTCAGCATTTCATACATTTATTATAGGTCCAAGGTTGTAGCTCTAAAACTTTAATAAGTACTTGGTAAAATGTTGGGGTTTTAGGTTAACTTGTTAAATTAGTACACAGGAAACGACAGCTCTTTTGTGCTGTGTAATAAAGGTCATTGAGAAAATAAAAGTCTTGACCTCTCCTCTCTTTTTTCTGTGCATCAGGGTTCGTAAGCAGTGATCAAGTACTCTTCTCTGACACGTCTCCTCTCTCAACTCTGCCTTCCTCAACTTTAAACTCCACTCTCATGACTTCTAGAAATGATGACGCCATCTGGTTTGAAGCCAAACTGGCCAAAGAGCCCCAGTGGTCCTACACACACAAGGACTTTGTTGCCTCTGTTACCCTGATTTCTTCTGAGGAGGACCATGCTAAGATACCGCATGAGTCTCGCACAAGCACAGTGGAACTCCTAGAGGAGGAAAGGGAAGAGAACGAGGAAGAGAAACACGGGGAGGTGGAAATTTTGATGGATATCAGTAAGAGCTTTGTGGGATCTGAAAGGCCAGATTTAGACTCCATGGAGCAGTTTGAGGTTGAATCCTTGAGCTGGTCTGGAGAGAGGAAGATGCAGGATATGAATAAGGGTCTGAGTTACTGGCCTAAGAAAGTTCCGAGAGTAGAAGTTTCCATGAAGACATCAGTTATGATGGTCAATGAAACCATGAAGCAGCAATCCACAACGAATGAATCAGCAGTGGGTGACGGGCAGCGTCATGAGGTGTTGCTGCCGTCCTTTATCTCAGAGGAAACGGATAAGGTGGATGAAAATTCTTCGGAAAATAAACAGGAAGGTTTGGATTTCCTTTTAATTCCATCGTTTGAAGATACGTCAGAGTTTCAGGTTGGATCTGATGAGCTGGTGGAGCAGGGTCTTGTGACAAAACTAGATCTTAAGCAAGACTCAGATGATTATTATGATTAAATGCATGTATTTTTTGTTTGTTTTGATGAATAAACCAAAGAATCCCATAAAGCTCAATAATCAACTAGTATTTCATGAAAGTCTTGTTTTTGACCGATAAGCTGTGAATTGAGGGAGGTTAAATTACTTTTGTTACATGGTTTCCTGGTTTCTATTATAATGCCCTTTCATTCATTATGTTAAAACAAAACATTTCGATGCTTGAATCCAAACATCCTGTTAATTGTGATCTTTACGGACAGTATGAAGAACTTCTACTAATGTCATCATGATTCTTGCACATGTTTGGTCTTGCTGTCTGTATGTCTGCTGACATTGCAAGGCTTCAGGGCAAAGTCAGACTAAATATTTTCATTCTGATGGAACATTTTTTTCACATATTGAATTTAACCGTTGTGAATATAAAAGACATATTGTGTTTCCCACAGCCACACTAGCCTTTTCATGTGTCGTAATCTCTGTGGGAAAGAACTGGTTGTGTGTGTATAGCCATTGTTCCTGGATCAATTCCTTCTGATTAAGTGGTTTTCATTTAGAACTAGCAGATGTCATTTTAGAAAAGAAAATGTCCTACATAGACTGTCAAGTACTTTCGTAGAGAAAAGTCTTTCCTTTCTTGCCAATGAAGCTCAATAGGCAGAGTTCCAGAAATCAAAATAAGACTATTGAACAAAGCAACAAAGCTGAGATGCCTGCAGGACATCTGACCATCTCGTTTTAACCAATGATCTCATTTGCAGGTGCAATCCTTCCTTTTCTCTTTCACCACAGTTACTTAATTCACTAGCCTATTTTCTTTTTAAGGGTGGTTCCCCATGTGACCTCTCACAGTCCTGTAGGCCACGAGGCCTTCAAAACACATCTGGCTTTTATAGTATTCAAACTATTTATACAATAGTTTTCTATAGGATAAATAAAATATGTATTATACAGTCGTGAATTGTGTAACAATATTAAACACTGATGCTATGGAAATATACATTTTATTTTTTCTTGATCACAAAAGTGTTTTCTTAGACCGTGTGATAAGGTACACCTATTATAGGTGTGCAAGAACAATATTCTGTTTCACACAGTCCTCAATACAATGTAGTTAACAGTAAAATAAATAAATTAAAACATCTAAAAACACATACATTTGTGTAAAGCATGGGTTCAATAAATAGTGTAACAAAATATTTGTTGATTTACTGCCATCAGGTAAAAATGAAAAGGCATTTATGGATACAATGCAATGTTTCAGTGCACAAACTCAACATCCACGCACTGTAAATAACAGTAATACGAAAAAAAACTGCAATTCTAAAATTCTATTTAGAATTCATTTTGGGTCTGTTTAGCACCTAAGTAGATCTGGCCCTTTTGGCTGGGAGAGACACTACAATTATCTGTTATACAGATCACTAGAAAGATGGACTGAAATGTTACATAGTCAATGTCTTGTTACTAATAAACAATTTACTGTTTGTTAAAAGCTGCCAAGTTTATGAAATAACATACAATGTAAAAATAAATATAATGCTATTGTCTGCAAATCACAGAAAGTCTTTAAGTTTCATATATGATTACTGTTAGATGAAATGGTTTTGTAACAGAATAACCATTATGGACATGGTAAGTTGGTTTGTTTGATGAAAATAGGAACATTAAACATATCAAAGTTGGAATCCAACAGTGATCTCTCGTTATATTCCATGTCTCCGTCAAACCACATTATGATGCAAACTTGCTAAGGAACTTGCTGAAATGTGAGACTTGAGTCCATCATTAGCTAAGCCATTTTGTTTGGTTTGTTTCATTCTTCTTCTTGTAATGAACAACACAAACATTAAACCCATCAAAATCAACAGCAGAATAACAGGGATCAATATGTGGCATCTGTATGATGACTGTCCTTCTCTCCTCGTCTTATCTGTATAAAGAAATTAAATTAAACATAATTAGTTTTAGTCTCTTAAATGTTATTGATTATTCAAGAGCATTTTAAAGCGCTTGTGTTTGACTGTGCTCACCTGAGTACAGCTGGATCTCTCTCCTGATGTCTTGTCCCAGAAGTTTGTTGTGCAGTATAAATGTCAGAGAGGAGTTTGTGATTTCACTGAGGTTTATCCAACTAGACACACTGTAAAGTCCTGTTTGTGTGTCCTTCATGAGGTGTGTTTGTGTCTGGTTAGTGATGTCTGAGTTTTCCATCAGCCACTGCAGTTTAGGAGAAGGGTAACCCCCCTCTGATGTCACTAGAAGGTTGACTCCATCAGTTAACATGGAGAACTGCAGACGAGGTTCAGAGTAGAACGCTGATAAACAACAGAACACATACTTTGAATCACAAGACTGTTACAAGCACATTGTGAGACCTTGAGATTGATTCACATGATTTTCTATGAACATCAGTCCATGTTGTTGTTACCTGCAATTTTGACTTTAAAGCTCTTCTTCTGGCTGCCAGTGTTTGTGCTGATGGAGCAGGTGTAAACACCGGCGTCCTGCAGAGTGACTCTGTCCAGTTTGAGTGATGCGTTTCCTGTTGCCATCTCCTGGATGAACAGGCTGGTGCGTTTTCTATAGTGAGGATTCTGACGGTCGAGCTGGTCCCGACTGTAGTAGAAGCTGTGAACAACATCCAGCTCACGCTGCCAGGTAATAACAGTGCTACTCAGATCCCACGAGTCTACAGGGAAGGTGCAGGGGAGGATCAGCGCCTCTCCGTAAAACCCAGTGACAGGACCTCTGGGCACAGTAATCTCAAACTCAGCTAGAGAGTGAAGGAGAGAAAATATATCAGCATTTGAGTTTCACAATCAATCATTACTTGCAGTATGATTTTGTTGGCAGATCTTGACTTGCCAAAAGGATTTACAGAAAGCTGCATTTATGGTTAGATGATTATTTCAGTAAATATATCACAACATTGCCTCTTCTAAAAATGAAAAATAATAAAGATATTCTCTGACATATTAAAATAGTATTTTTGTTTATTACTTCACAATTTATTACAGATTTTTTTATGCCTTTAAGTTGTGAGGAACAAGGGACTATTTCGAAGAAACCACATCTTCTAGACTTCTATATAAAAGTTTTTCTTTTAAACACAAGTAATAATAAGCCCCGACACCACCTAAACTTTACAAAACAGCCGGAACAACAAGGAAGGAAAAAATCTTTATTTGTAAGCTGATAGTTTGATTGATCAGTTCAGTAGCCTAATAGATCTATTAGTTCAGTAAGGATTCAAATAAATTAAAGAATTTAAAGTGCCATTAAAAATCAGCATAAAATGTGTTCAAGTTTTCTTTATTTAAATCCCATTTTTATTATCATATTCTGTTCCTTAAAACTTGAATTTCCAGTAACTGGAATGTTACTGAAACTGTTCCACCATTATCAGTCATTTAAAATAGGCTACGAATAGTGATGGCCGTGATTGGGCCGGTTTTGAATAGAAATTCGGATAATATAGATTTTTGATTGGCTTCATAAAGATCCCTTTCATAATAGTTAATAATTTAGAAATACTCACTGAAAGTTAATAATTTAGAAATACTCACTGAAACAAGAGGCTTCAAAAAGAAGGAAAGACAGGCAGACCACTTTTAGGTTCATTTCCCGATCCACGGACGTTGGTAACAGGTAATCCTCTAAGTCCCTGGATCAAACTAGATGAACTTCGACTGTCCCCTTATCTGTAGTTTGTCAGATCAACAGCAGAGATCCGATCCCGATCACACCTGATGTACTCTGAGATGTCAGCCCACATTGCAACTATAGACTGACTATTTATAGCCTAGGCGCCGCCCATAGAAAGTAAAAGAAAGGCGCAGCATCCAATGACGCAAGTCAAGGTTACTTGTGAATCAAAGGTTTCTGTGACTTGACAGAAAAATAAAGGTTGGTTTTATTTCGGAAGGCATCCGGACGTGTTTCTGAGCAGAATCAGACCGTTTTTAATTATTATTATTTATTTAGGCTATTTTTATCTATAAAATGTATTCATTTGGAAATGTATTTTTGTGTTGGTAGGCTACACTCTAAAAAACTTATTTGTTTGTACCCAATAGCTGGGTAAAAAATATTGGGTCGTTCTGTTGGGTTATTCGGAACATTTATTGGATTGTTTTTATAACAACGCAGCCCGTTGTATAGGCTACAGCTAAGCGTTATGTCACACGTGAACGGTGACTGTCACACGATGTCAGTTGCAACATTGTCAGTTTGACAAGTCAGAAAAAAACTGTGGTGAATGTGATGTCATCAATATCATTCACTCGCATCACCCTTTTTGAGCTCACATGAGAAGTGGCATGAGAAGAAGCAACATTTTATGACCAAAAAAACTGCTTTTCAGGAAGGAAAGTAAAAGTGCTGACCTCAAACCCACATGCTAAAACAGTTATGGCGATAGTTGTAACAGTTCATCAAAAATGTTACAAAAAAAATGTAAGATTGTGTGGATCTTATTTAGCAAATAACATCTTGTTCCATCTATCCCCAGCTAATGCAACTCAGCACAGTGGGGTAGGACAGGTTGGAACAACGAACTCTTTGTGTTTGACATTAACTCACATAATCTGGTATTGTACGTCCAAGTGCGTTATATTTGTAGCAGACAATTGTGACCATGTATCAAATTTTGAGATCTAGCACAAACAACCACTGATGCTCAAACAAAAGGTAGCCTGTATTTTCATTACCGGTCTTTCCTATTTAAAATGTGTGCGCTGAAACTTTGACAATAGTCATGTGTTACGAAGTCAAATAGACTAACTAGCCTACAAAATGTGCATAACAACCCTACAAAAACAACACTTTGATTTTGTGCTATTCTTATAGTGTTTAATAAAAACATTGAAATCGCTTAAGGACAAAGGGATAGTCCATAGCAACCTGAATGGTTGGAATGTTGTAGATACCGGTATTTGCGTAAGGACGTCACGGAAACATTACGTCGATACGTCACACTTCTCATGGATACTAATCGGTGGCAAGTGTAACCTTGTTGCCATGTTACAATGATTAAATTAATAACAATGTATATGTTATACTGGTTGTTATAGAAAAATTGTAAAGATTCGCCCATATATGGTGAGTCTTTGCAATGATTAAATTAATAACAATGTTGGCTATATGTTATATACTGGTTGTTATAGAAAATTTGTAAAGACTCACCATATATTGTGAGCTGCTTATTTACGTTAAACCAGTGTGAACTAATGAAGGCAGCTCACCTTTGTTTATTATTAGGTTAATTAAAAAACATTTCAGAATTGCTGAGATGCCTGACAAACTGTGCAGCCCATATTTTAACCCTTTATGGGACTATTTATGAAATCACAGTTAGAAAAAAATATATTATTTTATATTTAAGACTAAAATCATTTTCCAAAACTAGTTTTCTACATCAGACCTATCTGAAAATGAGTGAAAAGGTCTTTCCAAACGTAACTTGATTTTGACGTGTTTATTAATAATTTCTGGAGCATCCCTGCTTGTCAGAGGCCGATAGACACACTCACTGCCTCCTTGATCTTCAACTTCTTTATTTCTTATGACCTTATTTTCTGATATTCACTGCCATCAGAAAACTTACTAACACAACTTACTAAACACAGGCAAAAAGGCTATTATGCATGCCAGTACTAAACAATAGTGGCAGCGTCACTAGTGTATCCCCTAAAAAGACTTTGTCATTTATGCATAACGCACAGATTATTTTTTATTTTTTGTCTTTGAGTTATTGCTTTTTACAAAATTTGCATTAATTACCAAAAGCTTTAGAAATGTTTTTTTTATTTTTATTTATATGCATTCTCTGGTCTAAAAGGAACTCACAATTAAACATATTGCTCAAATATTAAAGGATCGAAATAAGTAAACAATATGTAGGATCAATTATATTGTTATATTGTATTCTGTGCATTAAAACTAAAATATTACAACCCGATTTCCAGAAAAGTTGAGACATTTTTGTCAAATGCAATAAAATCCACAATCTGTGATTTATTCATTCACTTGAAGAAAAAATGTAACTGACAAAAGTAAAAAGAACAACACACTACAAAAAAGTTGGGACAGAGGCAAAATAAATTAAAAGATTATAGAATATCCAACTGAATTGTCGAGATTTGTCAAACAGTTCAAAAATCAAATTTTTCAATGGAAGTCTGCAAAGAATTTATGTCTTTCACCAACTATCATACATAATATTGTGAAAGATTCAGGGAATCCAGAGAAATCGCAGTAAAGAAGGGCAAGGCAGGAAACCTCTGTTGAATGTGTGTGACCTTTGAGCCCTCTCATGCTAGTGTTAAAGGAGCTGTATGTAAGAAATTTATTTCAATTAATCATAAAATGGCCCTGAAATGTCACTAGACATTAAGAAATCGTGTACATTTCAAATACTTATATCACTGACAACAGTAGTTTGGCCAGGATATTGTCATTTAAAAAGTGCAGTTGCAGCCCTCAACTGATGTTGATGTTGTCATGTTGTGTTTTGGTCTGATGCTCCACCCTCCACCTATCTACCAATCACGAAGTCAGTAGTGTTGCGGCATCCGGGTTGCCAGCTCTGCTCTAGTTACCACAGCTGCAGCTCATCACAATCCTGCTGGATCCTGCAGCCGATCTGGCAACCTCGAGTCAGGGAGGAGGGGGAGGGGATACACCACTCTACAGTAATTTGACAGCGATTGCAGTACTTGTTTTGGCCACAATCTTACATACAGCTCCTTTAAATAAAGCCACATGTGCTCAGGAGTACTTTGGAAAACTGTTTTCACTAAACACAGTCTGACAGATGATCTGTCTCATATTCTACTGTCAGGACATAATGACAGTTTTAACAAATATGTAAAAAATATTTTTTTACAAAAGTTACCATTTGTTAAAACTGTCATTATGTCCTGACAGTAGAATATGAGACAGATAATCTGTGAAAAAATCAAGCTCCTCCCAGTATTGCCATTTGCAGAAATACACCGCTCCCTTTCAGAAACAACCAATCAGAGCCAGGAGGAATGTCTTAGCAGTGTCAATCACGCTCGTGTACACGCTGATCACACCCCTCTCTTGCACAGCGCGAGAACCTTTTGGCCACTCATCCCAGAGGAATTCTGAGGAACGTTAAAGTGATAGTTCACCCAAAAATGAAAATTCTGTCAGTAATTACTCACTTTCGTTCATCTTCGGAACACAAATTAAAGGGGTGATGAACTGAGAAATCAAATTTTCCTTGAGCTTTTGACATCTAAGAGGTCATCATATTATAAGAATATCCTGTAAGTTTCAGAACTGAAAACGTCGTCCTTGTTAGTCCAATAAAAGCTTTTATTGACACCAGGCTCAGCAAACGACTCGTTTTTCAAAGTGGGGAACTATGACGACAAAGAGGATAAAACACCACCCCTGCAGAAGAAGATCAACGCCTACTTCAACACAGAAGGTTTAGCCCCGCGCACCGATTCGCGCATTACACGAAACTCATTATAATATGCAAAACTGTTATCCACTCACAGCAGTGGGCGATTACTTCCAAGTCTTCAATGCGAGATGCCCATAAAAACCGAGCGTTTTTGAGCTAGGCTCAAAACTAGGGTAAAAAAATACCCTATTGCTTATTCATTTTGATGTTTTTGAATGTAAAAACCAAACGAACGTCATAAGTTGACCTCAGACAACAATATAAAAAAAATTAAAAAGCCAGTTCATGACCCCTTTAAGATATTTTTGATTAAATCTGAGAGCTGGATCACTCCTCCAGGCTTCTATGTAATTGAAACTTGCCGGCCCAGAAAGTTAGTAAAAACATTGTTAAAATAGTCCAAGTGACTACAGTGGCTCAACCATAAGATTACCAAGCGACGAAAATACTTTTTGTGCGCACAAAACCCCCAAAATAACGACTTTATTGAACTATTCGTTTTCTTATATGGGCCTCAGATAGCCAGAAACCCAGACAACTTCTGGCAAATTTAGATTTGCCCTGAAAGTTAGTCTGGCAAAGAGCTCATTCAAGCTCATTTCCAATCCGCCGAAATCCCGGCACCAATCAGAAACGTTGGGGCGGCCTTTACACGATGACGACAGCGCTGGGATTTTGAAGCAGATTTTGTAGCCTACATTACAAAGATGGATGCCGCCGTCGAACATCACTCGTTCAAATCAGCTATCGCGTCTGTTTTAAGCCATTTGAACGTTTCCTTTTTGTTAAAAACCGAGCAAAGAACAACACTCGGCATACGTCAGCTCCTTCATCGCTCTGATTGGGTTTAGGTCTATCCGCGACGTCCGTTGGTGACGCCCCTCTGGAAATGATTTGTCTATGACGCTTTGCCAGACCATAACTCAGTTACAACTGAGAATGGTCTGGTTTTAACCAGGCTAGGCCTCAGAGTGGGTTCACGTAGTGTAACAGCGCAGCGCTACGTCAGCACTGGCTCACTATTGTCCAGCATCACACTCATGACCAGCGTCGACCAATAGTGAACCTATGTTGAAAACATGAGGGTGAGTAATTAATTACTGACAGAATTTTCATTTTTGGGTGAACTATCCCTTTAAACGCTATGTTGCCTGATAGGTACTTTTCCATTCAGGGGCCATATTTGCACTCTGGGATTGATTTCTAGGGGCATTTTTACGGTTTAAGGACATTTTTTTTATTTTTTTTATTGGGAAATGTATTGTGTCTTTTATGTCAAACTGATAATTCAACTAATTAAATTCAATCAAACAATCAATCAGAACACTAAAAGCTGTTACCAATAATATTTTATCAACATCAACAAAAGCCGTCTTTACACTGGAAAGGTGGCAAAGCTGCATCTGACATGGCATGTTCATTCACACAGACCACAGAATGCTCAACACTGCAAACAACTTAGTTAAAATAAATCTTTGATGCAATGTGAGCAGATCTGAATGTGATGCTGCAGTTGAAACTTTTCATTCAATTTCACTTTAATCTCAACAGTTATAATAGATTAGTTTCATTGTGCAAAGATATATTTTGAATAATCCTTACCCTGAATATGGGAGGCATTTTGGCTCCAAGCCCTGTTAATTATCAACCCTGGTGCACAGGACGAGAAATAAAATATCCAAAGTGGAAATGTGCAAAAATGTATTATTGTGGGTAGAAGACATAAATTACCACCAAAAAAACAACTACATTATGCACATTTTACAGCACACACACACACACACACACACACACACACACACACACACACACACACACACACACACACACACACACACACACACACACACACACACACACACACACACACACACACACACACACACACACACACACACACACACACACACACACACACACACACAATGAAGGTGTTGTTTTGGTTTTTCCCTCTGACCAATAGCCCACTTTCAACACATTCTCCACTTCTCTCTCAAATGGCTAGAAGGAGCCTCCATTTGTTTCAGATAGTCCCATTTAAGTAAAGCCATTTAGTTGGGTTTGTTCTCTTCTTTTTCTTGTAATAAACACAAAGTACAGACCCTATCATGATCAGGAGAAGCACTAGAAGCAGCAGAATAACGGGGATCAATACGAAGCATCTGGACACTGACTCTTCTTGCCTCTCCCTCTTATCTGTATAAAGAAATGAAAAGTTTAATTAAATAACAACTTCAGGAAAACATCCACTATAAACAAGTAGCATGCCTGTTTAGATAAAATAACCTGTATGTAATCAGTTATTGCCTAGTTAATCAGTTATTACAGGTGTAGTGACATTTCACAAATAAGCGTAAAAAGCCCACACCTAGTAATGAACAATCTTACAAAAAGAGCCACTAGGGCAGAAAAGGACTCAGTCACCAGGGCTACCATCAGATAAGACTGTTTTACTGCTGTAAAAAATGTGGTCACGTGAAAAGCAAAGGCCATAGGAAAGACGCATAAAGCCTGAAAAACAGACTTTTCTGCACTAATTTATAGACTATAAATTATGTTCTGTTCTATAATGAACATGCATATCCCCAGGACAGGGTAACTATTATTACTGTTTTGTATATAGTCTTGTGTGTTGTATTTTGTTCTATGCATGCCTTATGGTAGAATTATTAGATAATGTATGTACCCTGTTCCTACTCAGTTGAATAATCACTCGAAACGTACAATCATGTATACGATTTCATTATGTAAATAAGTACAGCAGGAGTACAGCAGGATCTCTCTCCTGATCTCTTGTCCCAGGGGTTTGTTATGTAGTATGAAAGTCAGAAAGTTTTTGGTGATTTCAGTGAGATTTATCCAACTAGACACACTTTAAAGTCCTGTTTGTGTGTCCTTCATGAGGTGTGTTTGTGTCTGGTAAGTGATGTCTGAGTTTTCCATCAGCCACTGCAGTTTAGGAGAAGGGTAACCCCCCTCTGATGTCACTAGAAGGTTGACTCCATCAGTTAACATGGAGAACTGCAGACGCGGTTCAGAGTAGAACGCTGATAAACAACAGAACACATACATTGAATCACAAGACTGTTACAAACACATTGTGAGACCTTGAAAATTGATTCACATGATTTTCTATGAACATCAGTCCATGTTGTTGTTACCTGCAATTTTGACTTTAAAGCTCTTCTTCTGGCTGCCAGTGTTTGTGCTGATGGAGCAGGTGTAAACACCGGCGTCCTGCAGAGTGACTCTGTCCAGTTTGAGTGATGCGTTTCCTGTTGCCATCTCCTGGATGAACAGGCTGGTGCGTTTTCCATAGTGAGGATTCTGACGGTCGAGCTGGTCCCGACTGTAGTAGAAGCTGTGAACAACATCCAGCTCACGCTGCCAGATAATAAAGGTGCTACTCAGATCCCACGAGTCTACAGGGAAGGTGCAGGGGAGGATCAGCGCCTCTCCGTAAAACCCAGTGACAGGACCTCTGGGCACAGTAATCTTAAACTCAGCTAGAGAGTGAAGGAGAGAAAATATATCAGCATTTGAGTTTCACAATCAATCATTACTTGCAGTATGATTTTGTTGGCAGATTTTGTCTTGTCAAAAGGATTTACAGAAAGCTGCATTTAGAATAGACGTCATTGCAAGAGGGAGGGGAAGTTATTTTTGATTAAAGATTATGAAGGCCCATGAATTAAATATAATGTGCACAGATAAATCATTTATAATAAATACGGCAATATTCCATAAAAAGGGGGTCAATTTTGAGTTCATGTTGACTTTAACAACTGCTCTGCGCATACAGTGCAAATGCGATAACGAAATTTATGCACACTGTATACACGCCTATGGGAAGTATGGAAGTATGCCTTTTGAAAAAACAAAGTAAAAGTAATCTCTAACCTGGAACCTGTTGAGCCACTTGACCACTTTTTCTGTTATTTTGAGTAGTCATGTTTGTTTAGCTCTATGTCATTGATGCTGTCTTATAAGATGATAACATAAGTGATAGTGAATATAAAAGCTTGGCTAGATAATGGACTTTTTGACAGGCTTCATAAAAATCACTTTATAGTTTCAATAATTTATCAGAAATACTCACTTAAACAGGAGGCTTCAAATAAAAGGAGAGAAAGGCAATAAAAGGACACTTTCAGGTTCATATCCCGATCCAAAGCCATCGGTAACAGGTAAAGACCGACTTCTACTGTCATCTGTGGTTTGTCCGTTCAAGCACATCAATAGGCCTATAGCAGAGAATACGATCACATGTACTTTGAGATGTCCGTCCAGATCGCCATTGTACTCTAATGTCGAAATGGAAACAACAACAAACCGCTGTGTGAAATTACAAACAATTGATTATCACAAGTTTCACGGCTTTGAAAAAAATTCAGAAAAACTAAAGTTTTTTTTATTTCAGAAGTTTGATAATCTTATTTTTGTTTTGGCTATGAGAGTGTGTTCTGCATTGGGGGATGGATGTCTACGGTCTTATGCCTTCAATTATGAATTCAGGTTTAAAGAATTTAAAGTTCTACTGAAAATCAATATAGCCTAAGTAGATATGTGATCATATTAGAATTGTTTTTCTTTAATTAAACTGCGTTTTTATTATCCTGTTACTGTGCTTTGAATTTCAAGTAACTGGAACTTTACTGAAACTGTTTCACCATTTTCAAACATTAAAAACTTAAAAATACTATGAATATAAAACCTTAGTTATTGATGCTGCCATAATAACCTTATTAGTCATAGATGCTGCCATAATAAAGGCATAACTTTTATTATTTAATTTTTTATTAATTACTTTTTTTGCGGGGAAATAAATTAGTAATAGGCCTACTAACATTAATTTAAAAAATAATAATAATGTGAACAAAAAATATCATTAATAATCACGGCAATAATCCATAAAAATAAACCATCAATTTTGAAAGATTATGAGGGATAATGAATTAATATATATATATATATATATATATATATATATATATATATATATATATATATATATATATATATATATATATATATATAATGATGTGCACAGGTAAATCCTTATTTATAATAAAAACGCCAATATTCCATAAAAAAAAGAATGGACTATTTTGATTTCATGGTGACTTTAACAACTTTCTGTGCGAATGTGTTAACGAAATGTATATCGCGCGCACTGTAGCCTATAAAAAAAACTCCTAACAGAGCATGTTGAGCCATTTGACCATTTTTTTCCTTGGGAAGTCATGTGTTTAGCTCTATAGCCTATCTTGGATGCTGTCTAATAAGATAATCGCATAGCTAAGCGATTATTTCACAATTGTAAAACAGCTCAATAATGACTGAATAATATGGATTTTTGCTTCATAAAGATCCCTTTCGTAATAGTTTCAATAATTTAGAAATACTCACTGAAACAGGAGGCTTCAAAAAGAAGGAAAGACAGGCAGACCACTTTTAGGTTCATTTCCCGATCCACGGCCGTGGGTAACAGGTAATCCTCTAAGTCCCTGAATCACACTAGATGAACTTCGACTGTCCCCTGTTTGTCAGATCAACAGCAGAGATCCGATCCCGATCACACCTGATGTACTCTGAGATGTCAGCCCACATTGCAACTGTAGACTGACTATTTATAGGCTACACCGGCGCCGCCCATAGAAAGTAAAAGAAAGACGCAGCATCCAATGACGCAAGTCAAGGTTGTGAATCAAAGGTTTCTGTGACTTGACAGAAAAATAAAGGTTGGTTTTATTTCGGAAGGCATCCGGACGTGTTGAGCAGAATCAGACAGCTTTTAATTATTATTATTTTATTTATTTTTTATCTATAAAATGTATTCATTTGGAAATGTATTTTTTGTGTTGGTAGGCTATCACTCTAAAAAAACGTTGAGTTATTTGTGTGTACCCCAGAGGTGGGAGTAAGTCACTAAATGCAAGTCTCAAGTCAAGTCCAAGTCTTAACATTGCAAGTCAAAGTCAAGTCAAGTCATTCTGTTGTAAGGGTCAAGTCAAGTCAAGTCAAGTCAAGTCAAGTCAAGTCATAGGCCTACTCTTTGTCAAGTCAAGTCAAGTCAAGTCGCAACTTAGTCATCAAGTCATAGTAGCCTACCAAGTCGCACACAGGCTAGTTTTACAGATTTTTTAACTCTGGGACTTTTATTACTTTAGACACAGAGGGCTGATGGGTTACAAAAATAAATAAATTAACTTGTGTGTAATAAATAAATTAGCATTAAGAAGCACTTTAAATGCTCTAAAATAAAAATAAATTAAATGAACACAAGTAAACAAGAATTAATACAACTTTTCCCATCTTGTAAAAAAAATAATAAAGATATTGCATTATAAATTAGTACTGTATGCCAACGTTTGTATGTTCTTACTCTAAACATGCAGGTGATTTGATCCCATAACACAAAATATTATATGGAAATTTTAAGAAAACAAATCTAATAATTTAAATGATTTAAACCCGACTATTTTTTAATATAACATGAATAAACAATTAACAGTTGTATTATTAACTAAGATATACAGTAACAAATGTGTTGCTCATAGTTAGTTCATGCTAGTTCATACATGAGTAATGAACAAATGAACATTATTGTAAAGCGTTACTATGAAATCAAAGATATAAGTTCCTTACAATTTAGAGTTGGACATTGACTAAAGATTTCATTTAACTAACTTAGATGTATTTCCCCTTGCACTTTTATTCCTTGGATAAAAACGAAAAACATTGTCACTCAGAATGCGTCTGAAATTATACTTTTATTATAGTTAAGAATAACTCGCTTGCTGCCGCAACTTTTAGAGTAGCATGATCGTAGGATAAATGTAATTTTCCGTATTAGCTTTAACGTTACCTGCTGCTCGTTTGAAAACTCGCGCGAACTGCTGTGTAGTGCGTAGCTACCAGAACCGTACGTAGGCCTACGAGAAGCTGCAAAGGAAACTCCGCCTACCACTTCTCCGCCAATTTGTTTTTATATAATATTTATTGTATTATTATTGTTAGTGGCAAGGGTGTGTACGTGTATTGTTATTTATTATAATATTTATAATAATAATTATTATTATTTACAATGATCAGAAAAGGGCACAATACATTTTGAGACAAAATTGGGGCAGGGGCTTGTAAATCGTTTCTATTTTGTTTTAGTTGTTCTTATTGCTTTTCTGCAACAGATGAATAAAAATGTATTAGTTTTTATGTTTTATTCATAGATATTTCTAGTTTGCGGGAGTCCCGCGCATCGTTTTATTCTGCCTCAACCCGCACATACAGAGTGAGTGCATTACCGCCCGCGATCCCTCTTATGACGAATAAAAAATACACAAGAATTGCTTCTTCTTTTTTTCACAAGTCATTTAAAGTAAATAGGCATATGAAGTCATATGACTCGAGTCTCCCACCTCTGGTGTAGGCTACCCAATAGCTGGGTTAAAAATATTGGGTCGTTCTGTTGGGTTATTCGGAACATTTATTGGGTTGTTTCTATAACAACTCAGCCCGTTATGTCACACGTGACCGGTCATAACACTGTCAGTTTGACAAGTCAGAAAAAAACTGTGGTGAATGTGATGTCATCAATATGATTCACTCGCATCACTATGGCAAGCCGTTTAGCATAGGCTACTCCTTCCCGTACTAGTCATAAATCAGTTTTGACATAATTCCAGTTCCAGATATCTCTTCTGGAATTTTGACTCGTCGTAATTGCAATTAAGATAGCCTATCTATGTGATTGTGACTAGTCATTATATGCATTGAAGATATCTACAATTTGACTAGTCATAATATACATTAGGCCTGCATATATCTACGATGCTTTTATGACAAGACATATTCTTCCATTGACTTCAATTGGAAAATATTTTTAGATAGGCCTATCTACAAATGAGTTTTGACTAGAAATTGTAAATAAACATATCTGTAAAAAATAAATTTCCACTGGGATTTCAAATTAGAGATATCTCAAATTATAACTTGCACTAGTGGCAATTAAATTAGAGATAGCCTATCTCAAATTATAATTTGAAATATCTGGGTTTTGTCTAGTCATAATCAAATTGGACATATATTTAATTAATCGTTTTTTAAGATATCCAAAAACACAGATATCTTTAAGTAATTTATTACTAGTCAAATTACATGAGAAGTGGCATGAGAAGAAGCAAACATTTTTGACCCCCCAAAAAAAAAGATTTTTAGGAAGGAAAGTAAAAGTGCTGACCTCAAACCCACATGCTAAAACAGTTATGGCGATAGTTGTAACAGTTCATCAAAAATGTTACAAAAAAATGTAAGATTGTGTGGATCTTATTTAGCAAATAACCTCTTGTTCCATCTATCCCCAGCTATTGCAACTCAGCACAGTGGGGTAGGACAGGTTGGAACAACGGAACTCTTTGTGTTTGACATTAACTCACATAATCTGGTATTGTACGTCCAAGTGCGTTATATTTGTAGCAAACAATTGTGACCATGTATCAAATTTTGAGATCTAGCACAAACAACCACTGATGCTCAAACAAAAGGTAGCCTGCATTTTCATTACCGGTCTCTCCTATTTAAAATGTGTGCGCTGAAACCTTGACAATAGTCATGTGTTACGAAGTCAAATAGACTAGCCTACAAAATGGGCATAACAACCCTACAAAAACAACAACACTTTGATTTTGTGTTATTCTTATACTGTTTGTGTTTAATAAAAACATTGAAATCGCGTAAGGACGTCACGGAAATGGACGTCACGTCGATACGTCACACTTCTCATGGATACTAATCGGTGGCAAGTGCCTTGTTGCCATGTTGCAATGATTAAATTAATAACAATGTATATATAGGCCTACTGATTGTTATAGAAAAATGGTAAAGACTCACCATATATTGTGAGCTGCTTATTTACGTTAAACCAGTGTGAACTAATGAAGGCAGCTCACCTTTGTTTATTATTAGGTTAATTAAAAAAACATTTCAGAATTGCTGAGATGGCTGACAAAGTGTGCAGCCCATATTTTAACCCTTTATGGGACTATTTATGAAATCACAGTTAGAAAAAAAATAATCACTTTATATTTAAGACTCAAATCATTTTCCAAAACTTTATCTGACCTATCTGAAAATGAGTGAAAAGGTCTTAGTTTAAAAAAGAAATATTAAAAGAAAGCTTTATTAAACATTCCATTTCATATTTTGCTTCATTTGGAACTCACATGTGAAAATATTGAAAAATTGACAAATACAAATGCAACTTTACTGCCTGGAAAATAGTGCAACCATATCTTAGTGTTTCAAAAAGCAGTAGTTAAATAGTTAAAAACTATTTAGCATTGTTTTTTTCTTGGAATTCCAAATCAATTATTGTAGCACAAGTGAAAATCAACCAGACTGTTCTTTTTCAGTGTATCCCACACTTTCCAAACGTAACTTGATTTTGACGTGTTTATTAATAATTTCACTCACTGCCTCCTTGATCTTCAACTTCTTTATTTCTTATGACCTTATTTTCTGATGTTCACTGCCATCAGAAAACTTACTAACACAACTTACTAAACACAGGCAAAAAGGCTATTATGCATGCCAGTACTAAACAATAGTGGCAGCGTCACTAGTGTATCCCCTAAACGGACTTTGTCATTTATGCATAATGCACAGATTTTTTTATAATTTTTGGTCTTTGAGTTATTGATTTTTTACAAAATGTGCATTAATTACCGAAAACTTTAGAAAACACATTTGGATGGGTTTTTTTTTAATGTAGGCCTATATGTATTTAGTCTAAAAGGAACTCACAACTAAATATATTGCTCAAATATTAAAGGATCGAAATAAGTAAACAATATGTAGGATAAATTGTATGAAATAGCAAATATAATTCTTTAAAATATTACAACCCCATTTCCAGAAAAGTTGAGACATTTTTTATCAAATGCAATAAAATCCACAATCTGTGATTTATTAATTCTCTTGAACATTTTTTATGTCAAAAGTAAAAAGAAGAATGTTCCAATGTTTTCACTGACCAACATAATTGTATTTTGTAAATATAATTTTTTATTTTATTTTGATGGCTGCAACACACTATAAAAAGGTTGGGACAGAGGCAAAATAAATGAAAAGATTATTGTCATGGTTGTCAAAAAACAGGACGGAAGCAATCGCAGGTCAAACTCAGTTCTTTATTGAACGGTGAAAAGCACGACAGGAACACGGGTGTGGACTGATGACGCAGGGACCTCGATGGTCGAAGACGAACCCGTGAAGTGCAGTGGAAACCCAAACGACAATCCAACGAAGAGACGACGACGAATCCAACAGGAACACCACACGGAGAGACAAACATCCAACGATCTGACAAAGGAGATGAGAGAACTGTGAGAATATATGGTGAGATGAGATCGGCTGCAGCTGGTGATGTGATGACGATCAGCTGGAGCGGATCAAGGAATGACACTCATTCACGCCCACTACA